AAGTGACACTTAAAGCTTTACTTACATAAATCCTTGGAGAATGTACTTCCCTTTTTCATTATCAGCCAACCATCGACGAGAAACCATCCGAAGCATATCAGAAAATGACAATAGAAAATAGGGTGATAATGACATTCTTGACGTCATCCGAATTTTCAATATTGCAGAAATATTAACAATCTAAAATCAATAACTGTTCGCTATAAGTGCCCGTGAAATGATACATTATCAACGTTGATAAAATTTGAATAGATATATCTGAGTTGCCGATTGCATTATTGTTGACTATGATTCGATGTTGTTGTAGTCTTTATTACGTAATCCCCCATTTAAAATAATTATTTATACAATTTCCCTTTTTATTTAAGATGTCTAGATACATTGTAAATGTTTAAGAAACTTGTCTGAGATAAGATATTTTCATAATATAACATCCAAAGTCTATCCCAGCGGTGGCCAAACAATGCATATACGCTTGACCCTTCCTGTACGCATCAACTAAACGCAAATAAGTAAACAGCCGTGATGAGTCACGTGATGGCGAATTAGAATTAACCCTCCAGTGGGCGGGTGGGTTAAAAATTAAAGGAATACACGGGTCTGTCAGGATAATTTTTTTTTGAATAATTATTTTTTATTAAAATAAAACACCTTTATAAATACATTTAGTCAAAAAATAGGTTATTTTTTTATAACGTTTGAAATACTCAAAAATACAAAAAAAAACTGTTACTTTTTGACAAATTTATATTTAAAAATCAATAACGCAGTTTTCTCCAAAAACAAAAATGCTAAACCTATTTAGTCTAATAAAGAAATAACTAAAAACTAATAAAATACAAAACACACATTTTAACTCCAAAACTCTTTACTAGCAAAACCACTGTGACCTAAACCTAATTTTTTTTCCTAATTTTCCTTTTACAATATTTGGAGTATCCCTTTTTGTTTGTTGGGAGATTTGGATGCTCTGGATCAGGTATTATAATATCCCAGCACACCTCTAGGCAACATCCCTGTTAAAGCCCTCAGTTAAATATTTCAATATTGCTCTGAAGCTATTTTCTTGTGGCATTTTTAAATTAATTACTAATTAACTGGGAATAAGCCACAATTAAAGATAAAAAAATACGTTTATTGACGTTTCAATTTCCACTTCGGAAATCGTTCTCAAAATACAAACAGTAAATTAAACAAATTTTGTTTTTTGTTACATAGTGAAAAATTCTTCTAATAATTTAATTTTATCTGACTCATTTATATTGACAATTCAGACATACATTATGCATTTTAAAGTAGACGACTTAAAATGATATTGCCAATATTGTTGAGTTGCGCTCCTGGAAATTGAAACGTCAATAAACGTATTTTTTTATCTTTAATTGTGGCTTATTCCCAGTTAAATAGTAATTAAATATTTCAATGTTAAAAAAACTATTTTTTATTAATTATTTGTATGGAAGTATATTTTTCAATGAAAATTTATGCAGACGATCACTAAGAATAATATTTTGACCCTTTGACAATTGAATACTTGACTTGAGGAAGACTTGCTTTCATATTGGTCATATTTTAAGAGTGATGACATTGAATATGTAATTCACTTCTCTGGCAGTTATTTTTGTATAGCTATCTCATTTAACAAAAATGAACAATCCCCTTTTTTAAAAGATAAATAAATGAACTGTGCTTCTGTTATACAACAGTTGAACTCGTTTGATACGTTTAAATCAAATAAATATTTAGTACCAACACCACTTTTATATTAATTCTAACAGATCACTAATAAAAATAGATACATATCGAAGCTTCTACGTCAGCTACGGTTTTTTCGACGGCGATAATCAAAAAAATTACGCCTTATCACGAGCAATTCATTACTAAGACGATTGTTTATGTTTACAAAAGCTACCAAACAATCTTTTTCGTGTTTTGTTTCAACGTCACGCTAAGGTCAGTTAGTTGTTAAAAAAGATGTTTTCTTTCTTTCGAATGTATTTAAAAAACTGGGTTCAATTCGAATGATACAATTGATGTGACAACAATGTGATGTACTGGTACACAATATACAACAATGGACGGTTTAAAAATGCGGTATGTGCGAACTGTGGACTTTGAATGTTGTATCTCGCTCTTGACTGATGAGGTGATAAAGTGAATTAGTAAATAAAGAAAATACATATTTCGGTTTGACGTAACTTTATAATTGTTTTATTAATTATTCTGACGGATTTTACAAAATAATCTTTCTATATTTGCTAAATTCTTCTTTGTAGTTGGTCATTGTCTTGTACAGTTCTAATGCCATTTATTCTCAAGTTGACTGTGATAAGATGTGTTGGCTACCCCGATGAGGTTAGGCAACATCCAGTCCCAGACATCCAGGGACCCTACTTAAAAGGTTTTTTGGAATCTTGCTAAAACGTGCCAAAATGTCATGGAAAACTATTTAGTTTTAGCAAACAAAATGAAAAGAAGATTAGGACAAAAACTCGAGAAAGACTTAAAATGTAATTAAAAAAACTTAAAAACGTTCACACCTTAGGAGAATGAAACATAAAGGTAGAAGAAGCATATTAACAGACAAAATATAAAAAATCGTAGATTTAGTATTACACAGTAATAGATTATGAAAACTTTGTATGATATAATCCCATATTTCTATATTTTCGAGTCTTTATGAAGACAACCTTGATGAATCAGTGTTCAAATAATATTATCACATGATAATAAATAATAAAAAAGCAACTTCAAAGTGATGTAATTTAAATAAAACATGAATCTGTATGATTCTTGGAAAAGTACTTTATATTGCGAAAAAAATATTATCTTATGGTGGAAAGGAAACACGTACACTCACTTGAGATATACTCAAATGAGATATCCTCATTTTTTATACAATAATTTTAGAAAAATTTTATAAGAAAAATCCGAAAAAATAGATTTATTTTCACCACAACGGGAATACCTTCAATTTATTTTGCTCTTATTGCGTAAGCTTCATATATTGTATTTATAGGTCTTTCTCCCACTTTGTATCTCTGTTTGCCTCGTTGGGTTGTTTTAGCAAAAATTTAAGAAGCGAAGGCAGTGCGAGCATCGACTCTCCTAGATGAAGGATAATCAATGCGATGCGTTGCAGGTTTGTTAGGAAGACATCATTTCAGCATCAGTCGCAAGGTGAGACGATATAATGAAACAGGGTCGTACCATCGAAGACCAGGGCAAGGGCGAAAACGTTGCACTAATCAAATTGATGATCGTTTTTAAGATAACGTGCTCTCAGAGATAGGAAAGTCACCAGCAATTTGCTAAAAAATGAACTAGCAGATGTTCGAAATGTCGCGATATCGTCTCTAACAGTTGGAAAATGAGGTCCAGGAAGAAGAAGAACATCTTGGTTAAAGAACCTCATAATCTGGTTCAATACAACATATGTGCAGCTTTTCCGCGCTGCTGCAGATAAGATAAAGATTGCCATGATGATCGCCAACATTCGTAACGTATAGGCACATCAAGAAGTTGACTCTATGGGCTTCAAGTCAGGGGATTGAGTAGGCCAGGGCAATACCTGAGTATTATTCAAAGATTAAAAGATTCTCACGATTCTTGTAACATGCGGACGTGCATTGTCGTGCATCAGCACAAAATTTTCTCTTTCAAAAGAATATGATCTCGATATTCATTTGCTGTTAAAAATCCTTTAATATTAACGAAATCAGCCTCCATCTTCGTGAATCGAGCCGTAAACCAAATCGGAATTCATCGGTGAAAAGAATGTTTGTCCATTCTCGTTCTTGCCAAATTTGATGTTCTTCGCACCATTATAATCTTCTTGTGCGATTTCCACGGGATAATACTGGAACTTTATTGGGACGTCTCGCATGAAGATTACCCTTAGGCAACCTATTCCTGACATTTTGGGCAGAGACATTAATGTCATGAATGTCTTGAGGCTCATTTCTTAGCTGGCTAGCAGTAACATTGGGGTTCCTTAATGCCTGAAAGTGAACAAACCTGTCATGTACCAGTTGTGTTGCTCTTGTTGGACCAGCTTGTCTTTCCCTTACATCACCAGTTTCTTGAAAATGCTGCCATAACCGTCCTATAGTACTTTTGGTAGAATGCACAGCTTCTGCCATGTGGCGGATGTTCATAGCACCCTGTATCATACCAACCGAATCATACTGAATGTGTTGTTATTTTACAATAACAACACATTCGATCTACACGTATAACCGTTATTGTAAATTGTGGTAAGATATGTCAAACCAATGAAAAAAAAATTTATTTTAACAAAAAAATATTGATTCTTGAAAGTAAACGACTTTTTCTTGTCCCTAGACCTAGACCATTTTGAAGCGTGTATTTTAATATATCTCTCCGTCTTGCTTAGGATACCAGAATCATTGTAAGTTCATATTTTTCTGACAGATTATTGCAAAAAAATTGTTTAGGGTAAAAAGTCAAATAAAAATACAAATAAAAATTTAAATAACTTTTAAACTAATTCATGAATTACTCTTGTCATTTTGAGGATATCTTTAACGATACAAGAATCAACTTTACACGCAATATCAAGGTTCTAGGTGCATTTTTTACAATAGTTTATTTATTAAAAATTAAGAATTTTTGGGACTTTTTATAATTTTTTATGCAACAAATTAGTATCAACATTCATGTATCACTATTTTGAAGCTATAAACGTGTTTTATCAAATAATTATCCAAAATGTCGTTTAAAACGCTTTACTTTTTACTGGTAGACGAATGTATTTAAACGGGTGCATTTTTTACCTGAAATTGTTAATAAATAAAAATTTACCGAATCCACTGATCAGCAAACATAGTCGTGACAGTTATTGAAGTCCATAACACTCAAAAATCATGTCTGATCCTGGTCGGATCAAAATCTCCAATAGGGTATTTTTCCCTTGTTTCTCTATACTAATCGCGGATTATATCTTACTTTGATTATAATAGTATCTTTCTTTGTTACAGGTAGACATTAGCTATGGAAAATATTGATGGTTACCTGCACAAAAAGTTCAAGAAGCAAGTCAATGTTGATACGAAAATCCAAAATGACAAGGAAAACAAAGAAAGCGCTCCTATGGAGCAGGGCGAGGAAAAAGCTGACCAGAAAGAAAATCAAAGAGAAACTGAATATTCGCACGAAGAATATGCATTTGAAAAGAATCAACGGTCAGACAATAACCAAATTGTGCCAAATCAAAGTACAAAAAACAGTACCGTAAACAGTTCACATACGATAAACGCTAACTGTTACAAGTCTTCCATATCAGTAGGGAATCCACAATCTTCGAACTCTTACATATCATATGTAGTTTCGAAACAACCAGACCATCATCAACCAACTAGTTTTGATATTAAATTTAACAACCAACAGACCAACTATACTACTGTTATTAGTAAGTCTTCCATTTTGAATGTATATCCTACCAACAACTTCAAGTATACGGGGGATCAGTATATCCCATTTCCATCAACTACACTCCAAGAAGAAGCAAAACCCGAGGAATTATTGGTGCCTAAACCAGACGAACAAAGAAATTCTGGCGGTAAATACGTCTGCCCTTATTGTAATTTAGTCTGTTCCAAACCAAGCGTGCTGCAGAAACACATACGTGCACACACCAACGAAAGGCCGTACCCTTGCGAAAGTTGCGGGTTTTCCTTCAAAACTAGATCGAATCTTTACAAACACTGCAGATCGAGAACGCACGCCAACAGGCTAATTGGTACGAAAACTCAAGAAAGTACTACCGAATCAGACGTTCCTAAATCATCTAGTTACTCTCCTACTAACTTGGACGATCTACAGAAGCCTTACAAACCGAGATTTCATACGACAAAACACTTCGACAATATCCCATCTGAAATGTTAGAAGACGAAGAACAGTACGTTCAAAACTCCACGTCAGAATTCGTTTCCCACCATATTAACGAAATTATTAGTAGGAATAATTCTATAGTGAGTTCCAATGATCAGCTATCCCAAGGAGAATTTCGATATAACAAAGAACCTGCGTATGAGAGATCAACCGATGAGCCTCTAAATTTAACTAAGAGTAGGAAACGCTCTATGAGTGAAGTAACTGAACCAGTGATCCAAAAGAGTCTGATTAAAGAACTGTTATTAAAAAACCTTAGTGCTTCAGATATGCAGTGTCCATATTGCAAGATGATTTTTCAAACTGTTACTGAATTGGACGTACATAAATATCGAAGCTGCAAAGGCAAACCACACGGTGCTAAGTATACTAGAAGTAGCTCTGTAAATGTTGCATCGATTTTAACACACAACAAAAACGCTTTCGATAATATTCCACAGATGCAATTTCCTTTAAACTCACCTGGCCCGTTTTTAGGAAAAACCAGGTTGATAGAGAGTGACAAGACCAAGTCGTTCTCGTTTGACAGCGGCAACATGCCTTTGATTAGTCCAGGGGAACCATCACCTTCACCTAACTATCTACTATCGCCTCTTCCATTTGATCGGGACAAAAAACCGGGAGTCAAATTATTTGGTGGAGAAGTTAAGGTGCACTCATCAGGTGAAACCAAAAGCTTCAAAATTGATGGATCAGAAGATAAATACGAGAAAGAAGTTAATTATATTGATTATGGCAGTAATTTGAGTGAAAATAGAGTTGTTAAAACTAGTCTACAGTCCGGTGGAACAGTTTTGACCAATACAACAAACTACAAACCAGATCTAAAAACTCCCAAAGACGTTTTAATGATGTCGCCTAGTGTGGACTTTAATAAACGTATTTTTACGTTTGATAAAACTCCAGAAGTATTGGAAAGTATGCAAGATTCGTTAGGACGACCTAGGGCTTTATCAGAAACGTCAAAATCATACCCAGATGAGTCGAGTCCTCTGTACAAAAACATCATGGACTTCAGTCAAAAAGCTCTTAAAAAGTTAACTCCTAATATAAAGCAGCCTACCCTTAACGTTCCAAGCAAAACCATTTCTGTCATAGAAACTACTCTTAACGTACCTATTAAACCAATTACCAACCAGATGATTCTAGAACCTCGACCGGAACTGAATATTTTAAGTCCCAAACCTAAAATAACGACAGATGTTTCCTTCAATGAACTAAAACCCAACTTGTACAACCCTCTTAATTTATTAGTAAATGGAAAAGTTGTTAGGCACGTACCTGGCATGCCTGGGCCAGTAGTTGCTGCCGAAGCTCCACCTGTTGAATACACTAGCAACATTATAGCTGTCGCCAGAACGGTTCAACATAGTCTGGCTCCTCTGTCTCCGCTAGTTGTGGACAGGACACCTCTAACGCCGTTAATAGTAGACAGGGCTCCATTAACTCCAAAATTAGCTGATATCTACACACAGCAAGAGAAAAACGGTACCAGGTTTTTCCTTCAACCCGATAGACTAAAGTCTCCAAATAATTTACAAGTCGAAAGAGTCCTGGTAAAATCATCTGGAAACTTCCTGCAACCTGAAAAGTTCAACGAAAGAATGAGTAGGTCGCCTAAATCGGACAGTTCTGAAACGAGCACAAAAACCAACAAATCTCTAGAACAGTCTTTAAATGAAACCAAATCAATAGAAGAAGTTAAAAAGTTTATTAGACCTAATAGTTTGGCCCTCAAACCGACGATGGCTTCTCTGAAACAACACCACGGTCTAACTCCAACCATGTTTAACCAGATTTTAATCAGTCCCGATACACCGAGAGTAGCTAAGAAGTACGCTCAACATTTTCTTCACGGGAACTACTTCAGCTACTTGGGGTTGAAGAGTTCGACGCGACCCGTATATTGCACACTCAACAAAACCCAACCATTCTACGTGCCGTACTTTAAGAAGTTGAGCATGTACTCCGAATGGAGGCAGCAGGATACGAAGCAGGATAAATTGTACGTCAGCAATTACGACTCGAGGCAGAAGGGACACAGTTATAGCATTGCTGGGAAGACGACACCCAATATGATCATTCATTCCAGCTATAAGGTGAGTAAACTATTTTTTGCTTTTTTTATGTAAAGAACAACGTCGGATCAACCAGAAAACAACATTCCTGCGACATTTGTAACAATTAAATTTTATGTAACATGTTTTGTTACAAAATTTGTGCCTGGCAATAATGGTTTAAGACATATGTTGAAGATTATTTTAATAGTAGACTCTCAGTCAACGTAGGACTCGGGGATGGGGGGTGTTCATTTAAAATATACATCAATGTTTTCATCATTGTAATTCATCAATCGGAAGGTTGCATCGATATTTTTCAAAACAGTAGACTCCCGTAAGTTCGGCCAACTCGATACCGGACCCTATGCCGAACTGACCGATGCTTATCTAAAAAATGCCCATTTCTTGTTTGTGTTTATCTAGCAAAAACAAACACTTGTACATTAAGTAGAAGACAACACAGAAAGAATACAGACGTACTTGCAGAACTCTAGGTCTAATAAAGTTTAAAAATGTTATTGCTTATTGGTGGTTTGGCTTCTTAAACACTTAAAAAAAGTCTGTAATTTTTTTCTGCATTTTCTTTTCTAATCATTTTTGATGTCCAAAGTCACGCCACTTTTTAATAATTACATCAATGGCAGTTGCTTCTTTTTACTGTTTGACGTAGGTAGCTGCCAGTTGCAAAAGCTCCTTTGGCTTCAGCGTGGCTTATTTTATTTTCTTTATTCTCAGCAGCATCTGTGTCATTATCCTTCTCATTTTCTTGGCGAATGACATACTCGGCGATTTCGTCGTCGTTCAAAACATCGTTGTGTAGCCCCTTTACAAAGTTGATCCATTCTAAAACATCTTCTTCAACAATGGGTCCACAGTTCGGTAGTTACTGAAAGTCGTGCAATAGAGCTGCATTTTCATCAGGTTCGTTAACAAGAATGTTGTTTGGCTCACCTGCTGATGTGTTTGCTTGGTCAATTTTATCTTCTATATTTGGCCCAAGTTTTTTCCAAGACTTTACAAACATCGACGGTGGTATTTCGTCGTATGCCTTGGCCGACATGTACACAAGATCCTTGATTTCAGCACTTTTAAGAGTTCTAAGTTGTCATCAGCTTCCAGTTTGGAAAGAACTTCAGAAAGCAGTTTTCGGCGATACTTTCACTTAAAGCACTCAATGATTACTTGATCCATTGACTGGTGAAGACTGGTTACATTGGGTGTAACGGAAGTGTTGGTGAAGGAATTTTAAAATTTAACCCAGTTTCGTCGATGTTGTACATTTGCTATGGACTCAAGTTTTGGTCAGCAATAATTTTTAAAAATTTTACAGAAAGATTTTTGGCCGCTGTTGGGTCTGCTGACAGCTTCTCGCCACAAACTCCAATAAAATGGATCCCCGTGCCTCGTTTTCCACGAGAACGCCTCTTCTGGTTGAAGCTTTGAGTGCAAGATCATAGCCTTCTTTTTAGGATTGGTCCACTTAAAGGGGTTCCTCGTCTTCGTTCTTGAACGAACCACAACCACAGAGGATCTTCCACCAATTCGTGTTTTGCTTTTCTCAGTGTGCAACGCTTTTGTAGAACTTTTTCAGTTTCAATCTGTTTCGATCTACAAAAGCCTTCGATAGTTTTCCTATTGCGCCGCCAGTCGTTGATTGTACTTTTGTCCACGTTTAAATTTCTGCAAATACTTTGCACGGATTCTCCTTTGTCGAATCTTTCCAGATCTTGTAGTCTCTGTTCCATTGTCTTTGATTGACAACGCGTCAATCGCGTTGTCAATTGACGCGTTTCATTAATTTTAAAGCAGTTTAATGCACGACGCGAAACAGTTATTGGCCACACACACAAGTATACTGTCTATATAAACAGTAAAAATCGCAAGTGAAACAAGAATCACTGGCTGTAGGCCTACCGTAGAGATAAGCGCTTTACCAGCTCGCGTCTATCTGGTACTCGCCAAGTGTGTGACTAATGCTCAGAGAGCCGGCCGGACTAAGCAGAGACCGAACTATCCGAGGCCGAACTTACAGGAGTCTACTGTATATCGAATTGGAACATCGATGTTTCCGATGCATCGATAAAAAAATATCAATCAGGTTAAGATTGAGTATTATTGGTATTAGTATTACCAACGTAAAAAACATCGATGTATATTTTTAATGATACCAACTGGTATCATGTGTTACTAGACTAAAAAACTCTGCGCTTGCGCTGACACAGTTAGTAGGGAGCAAGAATGGTCGGAAAGAATGCTTGAATAGAGCTGAAAAATCTTTATTTGGCTAGTTTCCGTATATATAAGTGTATGAGATATTTATTCGATATATCGAATACAATAGAACGATATATCGTGAAATATTCACTTTAATCGATGTTCGATGATTCGATATATCGAATAATAAATATCGATGTTTTCGATGCACCGATGTATATTGAGCAAACCCCGGGGGCACTGAACCATCCGTGTAACTGTTTACGATTAGCAGATTTTAAAAATATGGCTGGTCCATCGAAAAAAATTTTAATTAATTGCTTCTATTTTAGTTTGTTATATCGGAAACTCTATCGAAACAATCAGAAAAAGAGGATGAACCACAAAAGACTAACGCCATTTTAGGAGGCTATGAGTGTAATGAAGATTACATTTATGTGAGAGGAAGGGGTAAGTATTATTGTTTTATTAGTATATATAACTTTGCAAAACTTTTTTACCAAGAGAAAATCAAGTTTGTTTTTGGGCGGTTTAACCCAGGAATTATACGAAAACATCTGAAACGGACCACTAAATGTAGTTTTAAGGCTTAAGATTTGGGTTTTTCTGTTTTCCCTGGTTTAACGTGATTATCAGTATAGAAGCTTTTACTAGCGTGGCTGCTTTCTTGGACTATATCACTGTAAGCGAATTATTTTTGTAGGTTTTTTCTTGATTTTTTGGTTTTATCCGGCTCGAAGAACCAATGTCTACCCCTTGTTAGTTCCTATTGATAGGACAACCATCAAAAGTTTAAAATATATTCATCGTCAAACTATTATGTTTATATGGGGTTAAGCCACATTTAATTGTAATGAAAACTATATATAATTTTCATTACGTTATGAATCGTTTTCAAAAAAGATATTTAAAAAATTGTGCGAAAAGTAAAACCAATAAGTGGTTAAGTTGAGTTTTTCAAAACCGACTGTCGACTTACTTGGCCTCAATTTTGTAGGAAACAGCCTTATTTTGATTGACAAAAAAATGTTCCTCGTCATTTAGTCTATTGTAAGAATGGGTTGGTTTTCTTGCGTTGTCTATTGATGGATTAAAATTCTTAATGGTTCTAACGACTGGAAGTACCTAAAATTGTACTTCAGCCGAAAAGAATTTAACTGAATTATGAAAAAGTAATAATATAAGCAGAATATTTGTAGAATAAGATTTTTTACTAGAAATCCTAAATCCAGTCAGCCTAGGAGAGTTATTTAGCTGTGATCTTAATAGATGATCTGCCCATCTTAGGTCCATTTTCAAAATGTATTATTTAATATTTTGAGATAACACGTCTTTACCTCCAGACATCTAACCAGACTATACTCATAACAAAAAGTCATTGTTATGAATGAAAAGATAAATAAATAAAAGAAATATATGGTATAACTACATGAAGGAGGTACCATTTTAATATTTTTGAATTTTTTTCAGGCCGAGGACGCTACGTGTGTGATCAGTGTGGCATCCGATGCAAAAAAACCGTCAATGCTTAAAAAACACATTAGGACACATTCTAACGACAGACCTTACACATGCAGCCACTGCAATTTCAGGTAAAGTCTTCTATTTTTAAATATATTTGATTTATAAGCTCCACGACCTTTTCAACGTAATGAAAACGTCTTTCCTGCGAAAATATTTCCCATGTATGACCATTATGACATTATTGTTGTTAATGTTATTGATTAGGCCTACATCTACAGAACATTCAACTTCTAAAAGATTAATGGAATTCGCAGAAAACCTTTCGTTGTAGTAAAAGGCACGGTAAACTGCACTGGAGTTCTTCATATTTTTTTTTAATTACTTACTTTGTTTAGAATATTTTTGCTTGTATTATGTTTACGAGTTGTTTTCTTGTCTTCGTGATACTCAGACACAGTAAGATCTTCTTGAGAATCTCTGACAGTCTTCATTACAGTTTTTAGCTTTCTTTCACTTATTCCGAGTGCGTCACAAACGCGTTGATTTATACATAGGTCCACCATTGTATTTATGCACATTTGCAATTAATTCATTAATATCTAACGTACTTCTAGGTATGATGGTCACTTCTAACAACGCGTTTGAATTACAATACACTGAATTTAGATCAATATGATCGAAACTTGTTAACTGTTGATGGAGAACACCAGTGCAGTTTACCATGCCTTTAACTATAATTAAAGGTTTTTTACGAATTCCGTTAATCGTTTAGAAGTGTAAGTTGGTTGAATGTACTGTGTATATATATAGGTCCAAAATATTTGCTATTATAGCAACCAATTGCACCAAGAAGTATAAACGACTGATTTTATCTAATTTTCTGTCACTAATTTTGCTATTTATAGCAACATTGCAAAGAAGCAAAGACTGATTTTTACTCAAGTAAACAGGACAATAACGAATACATACAGTGTTGTCTATTTCCTATAATTTAAAGTAGATGGTGCTGCGTAGCGATACCATTCTATCAATTTTACTTAAGAAACGACTGAAGACATTTTATTTTTCAAACAATTTCAAACCTTAACTATACATCTAAATCTGTCTAAAATCACTTGGTATGTCGTACATTAAAATTTAAAACATCGTAATCTTTTGTTATAGCTTCAAGACCAAAGGCAACTTAACAAAGCACATGAAAAGCAAAGCGCATTCCAAAAACTCGACAACCAGCACTGGATCCTCCTCTTCTTCGGCCCAACAAAGCGCTCAAAGCTCAGAATCCGATACTGATGACAGCGGAATGGATAGCAGCGGTAAGTTTTGACTTTTTATCATAATTAGTACAAAAATGTCATATACGCTGCAATCTTTATGTGCCATATACGCTATTTTCACATTGTGACAATTATTTGATAATTCCTAATAATAGACGATTCCTAAAATGTTTTGTAATTATCGATATGTTTTTTTTAATCTGCAATTAGCTAAAAAAACTTATAAAAATGGTTCGATTATATTTATACATTTATTAATACGTAATACGTGTTCGAGCTTCGATAATCCTTAGACGTATCTTTTGCTGAGGTTTAGATCCGATTTGATTATAAGAATGTTTACTAGTTGGTGTATTAGCCCATAATTTCCTTGCTCTCCATTTATTGCACCACCTGATGATGGAGTCGAGGTGTGCTTGAGCCTTGTCGAATACCGAACATTCCCTTCCTTTACGGTAGGGAAATCTTGCACAGACTCGAGTAGTGTCGTCAGCATCTCAGAGCATGTTTTCGGATCTGTTGTTCGGGAGAGGGGGCGCTAGTATTGAGCCCTGCGAAATTTTTGCTTCAGAAGTGAAGGGAATTGTTAGTTTGGCATTTTACTTCGAGAATAATCTTTATTGAATTTTAATTTTTGTGTTTTAAAGATAATAAAGTTTTCTATTTGTTCCAGACGAATCTACACGGCAACAAGAACATGAAGCAGCTTACGGTCTTCTATCCCTTTCCCAGAAACCATCGCAACCTTCCAGTGGGGACCTAGCTCACGGTCGCAGTAAAAGTCCGACGGACACTTTTATGACCACCGAAGAAATAGCGCACGTTTCCAAGGCAAATTATGCCAAAAACAAAATTTTAGACGAGCAAAATACATCGCGGAATTCAGGTTTTAGAAACGTAGAAGTCAGTAATGTATCTACTGCGGAAGAAAACCACGGAAAGCCAAAATTTTAGAATATATTTAGGAATGGGGAGTGGAAGTAGGCCGTTAACATACCCTTATACGACTATTTTAACGGTGGAAAAGGAAATGATGCACTCTCCGAAGATTATCGAGCTGGACTCGAGAGTATCGGAAAAAAATCCTCCTCCGCCAGAACAAAAAAGCATAAAACAGTTCCATGTTATCCAAAAATATGTACCTCAATCTAAACTAAGTCCTAGACTACCTGAAAACAATGTAAGAGATGTTCCTGTTTCCCGAAAAGTCGAGTACAATTATTCTCCCCCAGAAGAAACGTTAAATAACACCAAAACTACCGCAGCTTTGCCCAGTCGACCTCTCCCGACTCTTAAAATAAACGATGTCGTCGTTAGCAGCGAAAACACGTCAGATGCAAGAAAAAGAAAGGTCTCTGTGACGTATTTTCCTTACAAACGAAAAGTATCGAAGAGCGATGAAGTCATGGACCTCTCAATGGCAAATAACCACGAAAAAATAGTTAACGGTGTCGTAGAAGAAAATATAGTGAACAATTTTAGGCCTATAGAAACCCAAAAAAACGTAGCCAACGAAATATTTAACGCGTTACAAAAGCCCCAGCCTCCTCCTAGGCTAGAAATCAACGAAGACATGGAGGAATACCCGCCACCTACTAAATCTTTCGAATCGACGAACAACAACGGTGCTGTCATCATTGTTCGACCTATGACATCGGAACTACCCGAAGAGCAAACGTCGAACGTGAACTACAACGAAGAGTCTGCCAAAAGCGGCGATTTCGATAACAGCGCAATGGAAACGTTGGCCGATATCGCTACCAAGCAAGTGAAATTGGAGAAAAATACTTTGGCGAAAAGTGTGGCTAGTGAGTTTCTGAAATTGGCAACGAAAATTGAGAACGCAGATGGCTCCATTAATTCCGTTAATTTTGGACCTATCAATAAGGATGTCAACGATATTATCGTGAAATCTGAGGGGAACAAAAGCTGTACTATCTGTTTGAAAAGTTTCAACAAACCGTCACAACTTAGGCAAGTATTTTTTACAATTACACTATTTTAAAAACTGCCAAACATGTTTCAGTCATTTTAGAGTGCTTGTTAGTGAATATAAATGAATAGGAATGATTGTGAGTTAATTTGAGAGTGTATATACGAATTTGAGCGGATATTAACGAATTCAAGCTAGAATGAATAAATAAAAGTGAGTATAAGCATATAACAGTAAGTAGAAAACTAATATATGTCACATGAGTTAGCATGTGTGCCTACAATTGAGAATTGATGAATATGTACAAATAAAAGCGCATAATAATCAATCGGGGTGAGTGTTTCTGCGCAGAATTGAGTTTGAATGAATATGAGTATGAGTGGCTAAGAGATAAATTAGAACGAACTTGAGTGAGCATATCTGTTTACAAATAAGTAAGAATGAATATCAGAAAGTATATCAGTCCTCAGAAAGGATATTAAGAGTGTATCACTGCTTAGAAGTGAGTAAAAACACAAATAATTGAGTATGGCTGATTAAAAGTGATTTAAATGAATATGGGAGAGTGTATCAGCGCTCAGAAGAGGATACAAAGTGTGTATAACTGCTTAGAAGTGAAGAGCAATAAAATTAACTAGGTATAAATGCATAAAAGTGGGAATGAATGACTATGATAGAGTATATTACTGCTCAGAAAGGATCTTAAGGGTGTATTATCGCTTAGAAGTGAGTATCAACAAAAATAACGTAAGTATAGTTGATAAGAAGTGTGTAAGAATGAATATGAGTGAGTATTCAGTACTTATAACTGAGTTTTATGATTATGCGTGAGCATCAGTGCTCAGTATCGTGAGTATTTATTAATATGAATCAGTATGAATAATAATAAACGCATAGGAATTAATAGGAATCAGTGTTGTACGTAGAAGTCAATATGATAAAGTATATCACTGCTCAGGAAGGATATGAAGTGTGTGTTACTGCTTAGAAGTGAGTAACAACAAAAATAACTGAGTATAGTTGCATATAGAAGTTTGATGTTAGTAGACTGATTTATCATGAGTATTTATTAATGACGTCAATATTTATTAATATTTATGTATTAATAAACGCGTAGGGATTAATGAGAATCAGAAGTGTACGTAGAAGTGAATATGAGTAAGTATATCACTGCGCAGAAAGGATATTAAGACTGTACCACTGCTTAGAAATGAGTAACAATAGAAATAACTGAGTATAATAACATAGAAGTGAGTAAGAATGAATATGAGTAAGTACTTAGAGCTTATAACTGAGTATTTATAGATATGCGCGAGCATCAGTCTACATGTGTCTATTTAATAATATGAGTAAATATAAGACACAATAAACGTGTAGAGATCAATCAGAATAATCAGTTTGTACGCAGAAGTGAATATAAGAGAGTATATCTCAGCTTAGAAAAGATATTAAGAAGATATTACTGCTTAGAAGTGAGTAACAACAAAAATAGTTGCGTATTGTTGCTTAGATATGAGTAAGAATAGATCTGGGTGAGTTCTTAGTGCTTATAACTGAGTATTTATGGATATAAATACTCAGTATAATACTCAGTATGAATACCGAGCAAAATGAATATTGAAGTCAACATGAATCACAATAAATGCATAGGGATCATTAAGAATCAGAGTTGTACGTAGAAGTGAATAGAATGAATATGAGAGAGTATCTCACTGCTCAGAAAGGATATTAATAGTGTATCACTGCTTAGAAGTGAGTAACAACAAAAATAAGTGAGCATGGTTGCTTAGAAGTGAGTATGAATGAACATGAGTGAGCATTCTGTACTGATAAGTGAGTATTTATGGATATACGTGAATATGAGTACTTAGAGTTAAGTCTGAATGAATATGGGCGACTAAAAATAAGTAATGACGAAGATGAGTGATTTATTGTTGGGAAGAAGTGAGTATGAATAATAATAAGTGTTAATGAGTAAAAGCTTAATTTGAGTGAGCATAAACGAGTAATTTTTATAATTCACATATCTTTCTTTGTAGGCTTCATATGAATATACATTATCTAGAAAGACCTTTTCGCTGTGATTCATGCTCGGTCAGTTTTCGAACCAAGGGACATTTACAAAAACACGAGAGAAGTGCTAGTCATCACAATAAGGTAAATACAAATCCACATTTATATGTCATTTAATAACAAAAAACGCATTATGTTAATTTTGGATATTTTTATGGTATTATTTCTTCAAAATTATTAATAAACATAAATTTTACTAAAACTTTGAAACAGTTTTATGTTACATAGAGCTACATGACTGCTAAACTATATTTACACAAAAATTTCGGTTCTGTTTCACAAAATTTGACAATTTTGTATATATTATGGGACCTTTGTAATATATTAATCTCTTATTCCACATAATAATCACAATTTAATTAATAAGATGGAAAAATTTTATTTTCTGCATTTTTTATACTGAAAATAATGGTCTTTTGTGATTTTAGTTATCGTCGTCTCCCGCTCTGTCATCTTCCGAACCGAGGCCGTTCAAATGTTCAGACTGTAGCATAGCTTTCCGAATCCACGGACATCTGGCGAAACACCTTCGATCAAAAATGCACATCCAACGGCTGGAGTGTCTAAAGAAGTTGCCTTTTGGTCTTTACGCCGAGCTGGAGAGATCTAACAGTCTGTTGACGGAGATAAATACTTGCGACGGGGACCAGTGCCTTGAAAGCCTCAAAGTAAGTGAAGCAAACTCAAATAGACGATTTTTAAACATCTGTATAATATTTTTTGAACAGCCCCGGTATGTCTGTCATAAATTTTGGATTGTTCTTCGTAGCTTTGTTTCTAGCGATGTCAATGTAAGAATGTGGTAATAGGAATCCAAAACATTAAGAAATAATGATAGAAGGCAAAAAGAAACCCAGAATTTCATTCATACTTTAGTTTTATAACACTTGCAACAAGATAGTGTCAAATTGTGGAACCTGCATTGGTGCTAGAGATACTTTTCAACGACTTTCAACAGCTTCTATAAATTATTGAATTTAACACGTTGCCTGCCGTCTCGGTCTATGTGATCGAGAAAAAAATTGCTCTGCACGCCAGCGAGGTCTATTTGACTCAGGTCGCCGTCGAGGTGCCGTCTCGGTTAATTTGACCGAGGCAGATCGACATTACAGGCTATATAAGGTACCTCTGCGCACCGTGGCGTGAGCGGTAATTTTTTCGACCATATAGCAGAAATGGCATTGGCGTGAACGGAAAGTATTACAAATTCCTCTAAGGCAGGCAACGTGTTAAGAGGATTATTCTACAAATCTTATGAAATATATCAATGAGAGAAGTTATGATATTGTGAGCAGTAGAGCAAAGAAAGTATTTACAACAAATTGGTTTCAGTATTTTTCATCCAATAACATGAGTCCATGTCTAGTCTCCGGAGACGAAGAAATGATCAAAGTGATTAAAAAACGTGGCGAAAGCTAACTAAAGAAGAGTCAAGACCACCACAATGACTGGAAAGTTAATGGCTACATTTTTTTGGAATATAGCTATTTTCGACGCTATTTTAAGAAAAAACACTTGATCTCTCTCGCAAAAATCCACCAAGGCAATACCCGCTCACAAACAGCCGTTGTACAGGCAAAATTACACCAATTAAAGTACGATTTCTTCGACCATCCACCACATTCTCCAGATTTAGCACCGTGTGAATATTTAAGTTTCCAAATTTAGAAAATCGCTATGAAAAAACACCGTTTTGCAAGTAATAGCAACGCCTCAAAATAGTGTGAAAATGACTTTTGTCACTATTTTGACAGTACCAAGCAATATTACTTTTCGGAAAGATAACGCATTTAACAAAGGGTCTTATCTAATATATTAAATGATGACAATGAGGCTAGGTTGATAAACAAATAAGGAAAATAACAAAAATCGTGCCACTTCTTATTTAGATTAGATTAATATCAAGTCACCCTCGTATTTAATGATCTATTACGAGGGTAATGACAAACGTAATTGCTCCAATTGACCAATTGTAAAAAACAAGTTCTTTAGTTAAAAAATGCACTTTTATTTATGTACAGCTTTGGAACAAACATTTGATTTGTTGGAAAGAAAGTTTGATTTGGTTGACATATTTCACACTATTTTGACAGACTCAAGCAAAATTACTTTTCGGAAATGATAAAATTGCAAAAAAAGTCTTTTTTTAGTATATTGAACAAAAATTAGACCGTGTTAAATAATAAACAAGTAAAATATCACAAATCGTGTTAATTCTTATTTGTAGCACGATTTGTGATATTTCTACTTACTTAGGTTAGGTAAATGTCAAACCACCCTCGTATTTATGATATATTACGAGGATAATGACAAAAGTTATCGCTACAATTGTAAAAAATTAGTGCTTTAGTTAAAAAATGTACTTTTATGTACAACTTTGGAACAAACATCAAGTTTGATTTTGTTGTCATACTTACACCATTTGTAACCTTTTTTTTTGTTTCAGATGTTAGCTAAGAAAGTGTTTATCAACCACCCGAACAAACTGACCGATATAGATCATAGGGAGAATATTAGCGCGGATTAGTAGAACAATTTTTGTACATATTTGCTATTTAAACTGCTGAAGACTGAAGATAAGAAAAATCTATTAAGAAAGTATACATTTTATAAAATATTTTATTGTTAAAAACATTCTACTTACAGAATTAGATTATTATTTAGATGAAGATATATTATATATTCTCGAAGGGCCGATTTTAAAACTGCAGGTAGGTTCCTGTGTAGTACTGTTTTAATTTTATGAATTGATTCGTTTTATTTAATTCGACATTGTTTTCTTAGTAGTTTGTACAAAATACAAACGAAACTTTTTCTGTCGCTTCAGAAAAAATATTTCTCGTTACATCATCGTGAAAACTCTACAGGTACTCTTCAAATGCTGGCACCACTTCATTTTTTTAAAGGGCTTTTGCAACTTGTGTAAAATACGAAAGTCACTTGGTGATAAATCCGGACGATAGATTGGATGTTGTAGCGTCACCGATGTATTGTACCTTCGCCATATGAGTAACGGCGTTACTCATACTACTCATTGTAGTGCCGGAAATATCACTCCCACCAATTTTGAGAAAAATTAATATAAACAGTATTTTGCTGGTCCAAAATACTGCTTCCAGTAGATTTCTGGCTGAAAAAACGCTTTTGTATTGAGTCCCTTTTACATTTTGCATGACCTTGTATAATCTAAATTCCAATGGATATTCAATTACATTGAAATTTTTCTTCCTGTGTATTTAGGAAGAGGGACTCCTTGATACAATCCAGAAATAATAGTGAGAAACTATAAAATTAGTTTTTCATTCAATATGCAAGTTCCAGTCAAGTGTACTGCTTATTATCAGTTGTTCAGAACAAAAGGATCTACACAACATTATAAATTTCCTACAAATAAATGGATGCAATACGAAACAGACCAACAAGTGCGAGTTAAAAGAAGAAGAAGAAAGAAAGAAAAACCTAAATGTTTATTTTTTATCATGTTCAGTAAGCACATATAATCTTTGTTTGAACTTGTGTGAACCTCTTGAATCTGCGTTTGAACGATCTTTTGTGTTCAATTATATGTGTTTCGTGCATCTATCTGTTTGTCCAATGTATATTTTTGACCAATCGTCCCTAATTAATTTATAAACTTTATTAAATAACTTGCATTGAATAAATGTACATAAACAGATAATTGCAGACAGTATAACCCCTGCCCATTGACTAGATAGAATGACTGCAGGGCCACTATATATTTAGGCAGAAAAAAGTGAACAAACAAGATGGAAGATCAAGAAAATTTGACGCAGTAAATTACTGAGTAAAAATAAATTTGAAGGAAAGGAAAAAGGGCAATGCGGAAACAAAATATATCAGTAATATTGCTGGTAAAGTTTTTCAGAAAAAATTTAAGTAATTATAAGTTGAAAAATATCTTGTGTGACTTTTTACTTCCCTAAGAACAATATTAGCTAACCATATGACTAGTTTTTAAGTATATATATGAAAATTTATTTTTTTAATGTATTTTATTATGAGTAAGCTTTTTTGTTTTATTTATTTAATGACCAAGTTATTTTTACCAAAAACTGGTTAGGCGGTATTGTTACCAATTCTTGAGGAAGAACTGTTATCTCTTATTAATTATTTTTATTGTAAATAGACAAAATAAGGAACCGAATGTTGCTTGGAATCCCTGTGTGCAAAAGGAGTACGAAATTTGATGTGTTGAAAGTATTTCAAATTGCAAATATACTATTACAAGGCAACAATTTGAACTTTTGAATAGCATTTGAAGCTAGAAAATCAGTTCAAACAATCATCAAGAACTTTGATAATGTAAAAGGCAAATATCGAGCACAGTATTAATTTAATCTTGCCCAAGTACTTTCGATCACTAGATCATCTTCAGGGGTATTTCGTTAATTACGGCCTATCCGACAAGAGTAGAATGTCATAAATATAAAAAGGAACATCAAAATACACTACACAAAGACAAACAAACACTTTAAAATGGCCTTTTTAAAACTTTTAAAATTAAGAAGCCGGAGACAGACATCTGTCTGACTTCTAAACACCATGTAGCTTCGCCTATTTTCAAGATTTTAAAGAGTTTGTTTTCTTTGTGTACTGTATGTGATGTTCCTTTTATATTTATGACATTCTAGTCTTGTCAGATAGGCCGCAATTAACGAAATGCCCCTGAAGATGATCTAGTGATCGAAAGTACTTGGGCAAGATTAAATTAATACTGTGCTCGATATTTGCCTTTTAGATTGTCAAAGTTCATTTATTCGAGCATTCAACCTTATATCAAATCATCAAGAAATTAAACTGATGAGAAATGATGTATGGAACAACTGTGCGATGAAAAACACTGCAAATCAACGACAGTTATACTGTAACGTTACATATTTGCAGCACAACGTTGCATTACATATTCTGCAACGCAATTTGCTGTATTATTGCATGTCTCTAGGCCACCTTCACACTTTTTAGCATTTAAAATTATTTCAAATTGCAAATATGCTCTTACAATTTAACGCTCAGCTATAAAATCAGTTAAAACACTCAATCAAAGAGAACTGTCTAGAACCAATGGGCGATGCAAAAATTCGCTAAAATGCAGATCCTGATTGCACTACATAGTTCACGCAGATTTAATACCATTACTAACAACATTCGGTTCCTTATTGCACATTTATATGTACCTTTTTATCTTTTAACATCTATCGTATCAATTGCTACTATATTATATAAGTGTGTGTTGATGGGAACAAAGAGTTTACTACACAGGAAACGAAGTAATGAGTTTTAAGATCGACCTTAATATTCTGATGTGTCAAATATGATAATTGTGATATATTTTTAAGTGTTGTATATATATGTTCAATAGACACTTGGTCTTTTTGCCATGAATTCAGAAGGTGCATCTTTTGTTTTAAATTTCTTGTCGAAAAGGACTTTATCTCACTGTCAGCATCGACACAAATTATATTTTTGTTTTATTTATTATTATAGACAATTTAAATTGTTGCAATGCAATACACGGCAATATTCACCTCTAATAAAATTGTAATATAATTAGCTATGTTGTCATAAACAAAAAATTAATATTTTATGGACAATGATTCAGGAAACTTGAAATTTAACAGTTTGTTAACTGTCATTGTCAGTTCTATCAGGAAATTATATTGTCTTTGATTGTATTATGTCAATTTAAAGTGTCTTTTAGATTGGTTGTGTCTTTTGGTGCAGTTTTTTTTTGCAAAAATACAAGTTTAGATGTTGATTTTTCTATATTTTATACTGAACGCAGTTTCGTTGTCGGCTCTGGCATTGAGATATAGATCTTTTCGATATTGGAAATTGTTTTTATAATCTTATATAAGATTTTGTTTGTAAGAGTTTAATTTTTACCTGTTTTTAGGTATCTATTGCATAGTTTTTATGTACGCTGGTTAGGAATAAATGTTGTGTCTTTTTGAAAACAAAACCTGTCTAGTTATGTTGATTTTTATTGTATATAATTTGTTTGTATCATATTTTTTGCCAGGATACATATTTTGTTAATATTGTTTCCCCTGTTGAGAAAGTACAAGAAATTGTTAAAATAATGTGTTGTTTTCTTTATTCCTTACATCCATTAGAGAACCGCGGAAGAAAAGATTAACAAAGGGAAATAGATGGGCGTTTGTAATTTCCATACAGATGATGCTAACGGATGCTAACCGATTATACGAAGTGGTTGATCCCCATCACACTCGATGAAGTGACGCCAATCTGATCCCTACCATTCATTTCTTTGCCCTTAGCTACCAGGGCTATCCGACCTCTAGACCACGTACAAGGGCCACCCAAGTCAAAAGAATTAAGTGAGAGTTACACATATATGTAGCATCTCACCGAATGGTAACATTGAAAATCAAATAGATTATTGAAGTTTAATTGAAAATAAACGCGCCAATACCATCACTAATATTAGAGGTTTCTAAGGGCCAGACAGCAACACGGATCATTTTATGGTAGTAGCGACTAGTATATGTGAATATCAGGGAGGTTTTAGAAGAGGGAGGTCTACAATTTATCAGATTTTTACGATGAAACCAATATTGCAGAACAGCTACGAACAAAATCTAGGTTTGCACATTCTGTTTATAGACTTTAAGCAGGCATACGACTCAATCGCTAGAGAAAAACTTTACGAAGCGATGAATCTGTTAAAAATAACTACCAAACTTAGTTTGGTAGTTATTTTAAAAAGTTAGTAGAAATGACCTTAAAAGAAACATTAAATAAAGTGATCCTGGAAGGAACGAAAATCAGATACTTTTACGGTAAGGAAGAGATTAAGACAAGGAGATCCACCGTCTACAATTTATTTAACCTTACCCTAGAAGCTATCCTACGACAAAGTGGTGAAGAAATTAAAATAAAATTATTTTCCTACTTTTTTTAACAGGTTTGCTTCAGTGACGAAAGTACTTTTGAAATCATCATCGACCTGTATGCGTCCACTGCTGGACATACGTCTCCCTCAGCTCTTCCCCTCTGTCTTGTATGGCTTGCATCCAGTTATTGCTAACACGCTTCAGGTCGTCAGTCTATCTAGTTGGTGGGCGTTCTCTGCTCCGTATTGCTTCTTTCCTTGTTCTCTAAAATACGTTTTGTCCATCGGTTGTTTGATAATCTGGCGATGTGTCTTGTCCAATTCCATTTTAACGACGCGATTCTTTCGATAGCGTATGTTGCTTTTGTTCTACGACATACTTCTTTGTTTGGGATTCGGTCTCTCAGAGAGACACCTAACATCTGGCGCTCCATAACCATCTGAGTCACGCGAATTTACCAAACGCTAACTAGGCTAATCCTATGCGACGTGTGAGCTCACATGGCTGGCTATCTCTGCCCAACCGAATTTATGTACTAGGTAATTATACGATATAGTCCGCAAAATATCCCTTCCATCAACAGCAATATTTTGATTTAGCACCAGAATATTTGTGTCTTGTTTATATTAATCTTTAGTCCGACCTCCAAGGAAGCGTGACATAATTTTTCTACATTATTGCATCATCCATACGATCAAATGACTGAGCTTCTCTCCATTTATATTGATACCATGCTCGTTCAGATATGCCTTCTTACAAGTATATTCTAAAAGCGTCGTGAATAGCTTTAGAGACTGTGTCTCCTTGCCCTACTCCTCGCTGTATACAGAATTAATTTGTTTCTTGTTCAGATAGTCTTACGCTAGTTGTGGAATTTTGGAAGATATATTTGATTGTGTGTAGCGATGGTGTATTCGGCATTCTGGCAATGCTTTTAACATTTTCTGATGTCTTATGATATCGAATGCTTTTTCGTAGTCGACAAGTATCAATGCCAATGGTTTGTTGTATTCTGCAGACTTCTCTATCAGATTCTTTATCACTAACCTGTGAAATACTAACCAATAAAGCTCAATATATTAAACGAAGACCCGAAGAAAAGTATTTACCTGAATGTGTTGTTAAAACTGTAAAAGATCCAACAAAAATAATGGTGTGGTCTATCATTAACGAAAGAGATCAATACATATCAATGTTGAAGAACAAGTGCACAAATGGTATCCTAATGATGAATGCGTATTTATACAAGATGGAGCACCATGTCATACTGCTAAATCAGTAAAAAAATTTCTAGTTGAGAATGGTATTCCTGGTATTTCTCTTGGGACTGACCGGGGAATTCTGCTGAACTTAATCCCATTGAGAATATTTGGAAGCTTCTAAAACGAGAAATTTCCAATGAAAAGTCACCAACAAAATTTCTTTGCTTGAAAAAATAATATATAATTCGAACCACAACGATAAATTGAAGCAAAGTGCCTTTAACTGCATTTAAAGTATGCCAAGACGTGTACAAGCGGTAATCAAAGCTAAAGGGGGCTCAATAAAATATAAAAAATATAAATGTGTAAGTAATATGTTCTAATGTTTTTATTATTAATATATTATAATGAATGTATTTTACATAAAAAATTAAAATAAATAATAAATTTTTAAACAAAAAGTAGTAGAATAGTTGATCTTTGTTCAACATTCATATGTGGTCATAATAATTTGGCCAGTTACTGTATACACTGTTAGCGTTTGAACCTTGCTAGTCTTCAAAAAGTCAATATTTAAAAAAATACAATATCAATTTGGGTGTGGATTAAAGCGCGGATGTTTACATGAAATTTATTAGTTTTATAAACAAAATAAGTATTATTTAATTAAAAAATATATTTGATTGTTTAAAAAGTATTATTTTGGATTAGTCAGCTGACTTCGGTACTGAGTTGCGCGAGATGTAGGCAACTTACAGTTCTTCATTGCAGTTTTAAGCATGTATTTATTATACATATCTCAATAATCTGCGGTATGCAGATGATACAATAGTGTTTTCCAATACCATAGAAGGGCTGCAAAACTGAATGAACAAAATAACGGAAACAAGTAGGACATATGGATTGGACATAAACACCAGCAAAACCAAGCTAATGATTATCAGCAAGGAAAAATAACTGGAGCAAATCTGTATGTAAACCAAAGGAGAATTGAACGTGTCTCACAGTACAACTACTGGGAACTAAAATCAATGAGTCGTGGGACAATACCCAAGAGATTAAATGTCACATCGCAAAGGCAAAAAGTGCATTCTTGACTATGAGCTCTGTATTCAAGAGCCATAACCTTACCCTAGACACAAAAAAGGGTCTTCTTAAATGTTACGTGCACTCAGTGCTTCTGTACGGAGTAGAAACGTGGACATTGAAGGAGGAAACTCTATCAAAACTTCAGGCTTTTGAGCTATGGTTATACTGAAGGATCCTGAAGATACCATGTACAGACAAAGTCGCCAATGAAGAAGTACTACGGAGGATGAATAGAACCGAGGATTTGGTCAATATCGTGAAGGGCCGTAAGCTGCAGTACTTGGGACATATAATGAGAAATCAAGGCTGATATGAACTACTGCAATGCATTTTGCAAGGTAAAATCGAAGGAAAAAGGGCTCCAGGACGAAGAAGAATATTCTGGCTTGCTAATCTGAGACCATGGTATAGAAAGACCTTAACACAGACATTCCATATAGCAACCAACAAAGTCATCATAGCCAGAATGACCGTCAACGTTCGGAACGGACAGGCACCCTAAGAAGAAGAATTACTTATACGTTATCAATCCATTTCTGACGTTTAAAAAGTTGATATTATAGTAAAAGTATCTAACAATAAATGTAAAACTGCATAGATTCTTGACGATAAGATCAACATATTGCTTTATTATATAAGAAAGAGACATGTATTAGTTAAGATAGAATTTAAATAGTAGTTAAAATATAAGAAATTAGTTAAAAGATGTGTTGTTTTCTTTATTCCCTACTTGTATTACAGAACTAGGGCAAGAAAAAATTGTATCTACTATTACTATTATTTAGCAGTTTACTTTACTTCTTACATATTAAAGAGCCACGGAAAATTGGAGTAGTAGATAGGAACAAACCGTAACATATATGTCAAAAAAATTTACTGTAAGTGTCCAAAAGATACAACAGAAGTAACATGGACTTTATTATTGACAATACGACATAGGTTTTTCTCAGTGGATCAAAAGGGTTTGAAAGTTGGACAATAATTTTTTTATTAAAATTCTCAATCTATTATAGTTGTAAGTGGAAAGGTTGTGATAAACAAATGCACTTATCAATCCCATATGTTTAAAATTATTATTAAATATCTGCAAATGATTACCTGATAAAATACTCGTTAAAAAAAATTAATTTGTCGATAACCGTCTATACAGAATCGTAGTGACATTTTTGTGACACTTTGTTACTGTAGGCTACGAGGGCAAAGGTCGCCCAAAGAAATCTATGGACGTTTGTAGGTCTGAACCATTTTTATAACCTATTTGAAGCTCACGAACCTTTTGAATACTGTATACTTGTATAAGATATTGTACTCATGTTCTGTTTCAAGTGGTTTTTGATTTAATACATGCTCTCCTTAAATAAATGAACATTAATTATATCCATTCCTGAAGGCTTGTTTTCTTTTTCGTTTCCTTTTTTTTGCAAGATCTACCAGGGATTTCCTCTAAATCAAGGTCAATCCTTATTTACACAAAGAATTCCGATAAAATACTTATTAGAAAACCCATAAATTTGTAGACAACCGTTGTTAATACCGTTTTGGCAGGAATATTTTTGTATTACAATATTGCACATCCTACCCCTTGCCAACGATGTACCATTCTCTAAAATCCGTCCAGCTGTTCGAAAGCATGTAAGACCATATGACATGTTTGATATTTTGATATTTTAGATCTCGTGAAATTGCTACAGAATCTCGGATATTTATCATACAAGACTATCTTTTCCACTCTGTAATACACGGGCTCTTGTAGAGTGTGCTTTGTTGTCCATTATTGCGAAATCAACTATGTTGTCCACCTAGTTCTCTGTGTTTTCGTCAAGATTGTCGAAAGTTGGTTGTTGTGTCATAAAATTAAGATCAAATTGGTAAAAATACTAAATTTAAACAAATGCAGTTTACTTATATTTATATATAATACAAAAAGAATAAAAAATATAATTTAAGTAAAAATAATATATTCACAATATGCAGATCATTCAAGTCACTTCAATTTCCCAAATCTGAAGATTTTGATTAACTTAAAAAATATATTCGGAGCTCAACTATTATGATAATTCATAAGCTCCTATTTGATCTCGTTTAGAAGAAAGAGTAAAAATAATATATTCACAATATGCAGATCATTCAAGTAACTTCAATTTCCCAAATCTGAAGATTTTGATTAACTTAAAAAATATATTCGGAGCTCAACTATTATGATAATCCACAAGCTTCTACTTGATCTCGTTTAGAAACCAACAGCAATGCAGATCTTCGGTTTTTCAATCTCTTAAGCCTTTTCAAGCACCTGGATTCAATGTAGATCTAAAATGTATTTCATATATACATAATTTCATTCACTATCACTACTAACGATTATTCTTCTTCGTTTAGTCGGTTTTTTAATACCGTGAGGCATTGGCTTCCTCCGTTTCTGCATTTCCAATTGTTTTTCTAAAATTTCTAGTTGAGAGAGTTCTTGGCGCGCCTCTATGGTTTCATCCATTACTACAAACGAATCCTGAAAAACGACAAAAAAGTTTCAAAAAATAAACACCTGCGAAGAAGGTTGGAGGAAGAAAAAAAATGGACATAAACAAAAAAAATCTTCGTTGGAATGGCAATAACATTTATGTATACTTACATCTGAATCAATTTCGTCTTCTTCACTATTAACCTGTTGTGAAAAGATGTCTATGTTATTTTTGAACCGTTCTGGGATTTTAAATCTTCCAGGAATATTTCTCGGACTCCTGCAAATGAAAACAATAAATGAGGAATTAGTTAGTATGAGGGAGCGATAATGATGTGCATAGACATAGGTCCATCCATAGAGAAAAATCAGAGAAGAAAAAAAGAGCTCAAAGATAAATGCAGAGACGTCATAATATTGCAAAAAAACACGACACATTTGGTGTTTACAAGAAAGTCGTGTTTACAAGAAGGTCAAGGAAAATTCAAGAAGGAAAAATAAAAAATGACCAAGGAGAAATAATTATAGATATCTAAAAACCTCAAATTAACATGGAAAAATTACATAAACGATTTGTTTCTAGATCCTAAAACCAATGACGATCATCATAACAGGCTCGGACATTCTTTAAGATGAAGTGGAAGCAGCAATATTATTCCTTCAAGGTGGACAAGTTTGTGGTCCAACTAGAAATCATCAAACTCTTTGAATCAAACTCGTGGTTTTATTATCCTAACTTTGAAACATCTTGTGGAATAATTCTGTTTGCGAATTTTCGTAAAACCTTATTTTTCGGTTGCAACCATGTCTCCTAAGCATGTGCTTTTTATTTCATGTCAAAATATGCCTTGATTCATTTTTTAGAGCCAAAAGAATTTGCCAGTCACAATTTAGGACTGTTTTAATTATAATTAAATTTATAGGGCTTTGATGACTGTTATCATTGTCATATTGACACTTCCATTTTGTTTAATTATAATTGATCATGGTTCTTAGTGTCCAAGATTGTGCGAAAGCCGTTGCTCTGGTTGAAGATGGGCGGAATTATAAATATGTGGCTAGAGTACTACACACTCATCGCTCTACCATCCAAAGGGTAATGGAACGTTTTATACGAAGTGGAACAAACAAGCATAAAGCGGGATGTGACAGGAAGGAAACTACCGCTTTAGATGATCGTTTTATATGAGTCAAACACTTTGCGGAATCGTCATTTAACAGCGGTGTAAACAAGAAATCAGCTTCAAGAGGTTCGAGGCAATAATGTAAGCGTATTTACAGTTCGTCGAAGATTACATGAATTTGGTTTGCAAAGTTGCAGACCAGCAACTGCGCCCAAATTACTTCCACGGCACGGAGTGGCTAGACTACAATTTTCCAGGGAACATTTACATTGTAGTTTAGGACAGTGGAGTAATATTCTTTTTACGGCTGAGTCGAGATACTGTTTTCACTCATCAGATGGGAGAGAACGAGTATGGCGTCGAACTGGATAGAGATTTGCGGAGTGCGCTTTCAGTTCCCGCGTTAGCCATGGAGGGGTTCGATGATAGTATGAGCAGGAATATCCCGAGAGGCGCACACTGAATTGGTATTTATTGAGGATTCGTTGACTGCACACCGGTATATTAAGGAAAATTTAGCGAATCACGTAGTACCCTTTTCTCCACATATAGGATGCAAGATAACGCGCGACCTCACTCTGCAATGTGTGTCACGCAATATTTAGAGGAAGTTGGTATTAATAAAATGAACTGGCCAGTGTGTTCGCCATATCTGAACCCATTAGTGCACGTTTGGGACATGCTTGGTAGAAATATTAGAGGTCGCGAAGTCGCACCAGCCTTAATTAAGGAACTTCGCTTGGTTTTAGAAGAGGAATGACAAAACATTCGGCGAGATGATATTCACAACCGCACAGACATCACGAGCCGACGTATACAGACATTTATAGAGGCTTGGGGAGCCAATACAAAGTATTACGTATTTTTTAGTAGTTTTTATTTGTTATTTGCGTACTTAGGTTAAATTACATTTAAGTTGTTTTTTTTTGTTTTATTATTGTTATCATCGTTCATTAAAACCAAGATCAGGTCGTTGCTTTTAATCATTATTTAAACTGCAGTGCTTCTGGGATGTCGATATGACATTCCTTCGATATCAGTCACCGAAGCCCTCATTGTCTTATGACATATTAATACAAAAAATTCTTCTTCTTCTTCCTTCTAGTATGTAGGCTTTAAAGCCTGTTTCTTCTTCAATATTAGCCTCCTAAATTGTTTACATTGTCGCACCATCTTTTTCTTGGTCTGCCAATACTTCTTCGTCCATTTGGTGACATGTTTCGTACTATTCTATCCTCTGCCATTCTACTGATGTTTTCGCTTCTCTCCCTATCCGACAGACTTCTCCCTGATATTCGTCGGAGTATTTTCATCTCTGTTGTTTCTAGCAGTCGTCTCGTTTTAGATGTGTCTTGTCTCCGCCGTGTATGTTAATATAGGTCTAATTACTGCTTTATATATTCTTGTTTTTGTGTCTTGTCTTAGGTATTTGTTCTTTCAGATAATGTCATTGAGAGAACCCGCCGCTTTACTTGCTTTTTTAGCTTTGTTGTCGTACTTCTTTTTCAACATCTCCGTAACTAGTTATATCTATTCCCAGATATCTAAACCTTGCTTCCTGCTTTATTATTTTCCCATCAATTTCGATTTTACACCGTAGTGAGTATTTAGATGTTGTCATACATTTGGTTTTTTCTGCTGATAATTATCTTGTATTTCTTAGCTGTTGCATTGAAGATATGTGTTAATCTTTGGAGCTCGTCTTCTGTCTCGGCGATTAATGCATAACATAATATTTGAATATCTTTGTTCCCCATTCTGCAGTCATGACCTTTACGTACTGCTTGTATTCTTTCGTCCATTATTATATTAAAGAGAAGTGGGCTTAATAAGTCACCCTGTCTGACTCCGCTTTGTACTGGTATACACTGTGTTAGTTTTCCATTTATTTTTGCCTGTATACGATTATGGACGTAGATGTTTTCGATGGTTTGTACAATACAAAAGATACTGGTAATAATAGAAAAAGTCGTAAATTGTGGATGGCAAAGTCATTTCGCTCCTAAAAATGAACTAATCCATATTTTCACATGAAACAAAAAACATAATACTTAGAAGAATAGTTGCAACCGAAAAACAAGGTTTTTCACGCTTGAAATTTCAAAGTTATAATAAAAAACCACCTTTCGATTAACCCGTATAATAAGTCAAATACAAAATTTTAATAAAAATTCACTATAATGTGTGTAAATTAAAATTTACAAATTTTTACAGTGTGCTAAAATCATCATCAAAATTAGGCTAAAAATAAAAAACTGAAATACTTTGAATTTAACTAAAATTTTCTCCGTTGCTTTTTTTTGGCATCTAAGTGTACATTAAAATTGAATAAAATAGAGTAAAATAAAACAAAATAGAATAAACAAAATGAAATGAAGTATAATAAAATAAAAGAAAATAAAAATAAAATAAAATGGAATAAAATAAATAAAATAAATAGTATAAAATGGAGTAAAGTAGAATAAACCAAAGTAAAATAAAATAAAACAAAATAAAATATTATTCATTTAATTACGCAGAGGTTTCTGTTACTTAACAGACTCAAAAGAGGAGCCTATTGAACTTTGATACATTATTTAATTTTATTGCGGGACGAAAATTCGGCGGGACCAACTAGTATTTGTACTAATAATAATAAAAAGTAGTAAATCATCCTATATATTACTTACCTGACTGACTTCAAATAGACTGCATGCATTTGTGTATCAACATCATGCGTTTCATCCGCGACGAAACTAGCATCGTAGTTGTCTTGACTTAAGAATTCGTCAGCTTCATCGTCCGAGACATTTATTTCGTCGCAAATTGATAATTCAGCTTCGTTTTCTATGAATTGGTTTACCAACTAAAACAAACAAAGAAGTTGTAAGTCGTTAGTAACTCAGTTGTAGACTTGTGGTAAAATGATGTTTTATTTGTCTTTTCCTAGTCCTTTCACTGTCTTTAAGATTTCGGTAGCAGGATTATATTTCGGAATTTTTTCGATTATTTCGTCGCTAACTACTAATTGTGTTAGTAATAAGTCGAATTTCAAATATACAGAAATGCTCTTAGGAGTTATAACAATCTATTCACGGCTAAAAACGAGCAACTAAACAATTACATGTGAACAAATCCTGAACCAAGACTACATAGTGAAGTTACGCCTCGCCTGCTACCGCTATTTTTTTACTTCGGCCGATGAATGTTATCGGGAACATAATCACGTTAAGGTCTAAAATTTCGCGCACATTATCTTAAAAAGGTTTAAGTAATGTTTTGTTTTTAACTTTCCTACCATCCCCTTACTAACTTTCCTACAATCAACTTTTGAGTTGATTGGCTCGCATCTTGCTATGTCTTATGTGAGACGGTACCCGATATTACTTTTAACTGCGTGGAATGGCATAGAGCTGACAAATACTCCACATATAAGGTATCTTTCCCTTTCGATAAAATTGACGAAGTCTATAGACCTAATATTTAGCCCAAAGAAGCTACAGTTAGGAGATTTAAATTCAAAAGAAACTTTCGACATGCTTAGTATTTTTCTTGCGGATCAAAATTTAAATGACGTCATATATTTTTCCGAGCACTTGCACAGTGAAGAAAATTAATTAGCATATCTGTCTTTTCATTAGCTAATTTATTTTATAGGGTAAAAAAGAAACAAGGTGAAGTTGCTTCTTCTTATGGTGCCCTATCCAATTAGTGGATGTTGGCGACAATTTGGCATACTCCTCTCGATCTTGTGTGACTCTAAAGAGATATGCAGTTCTTCTTCTTTTTATTATTGGCAGCAATTCTCGTCCTCTGCCCATTCGATTTAATACTTCGACATTTGTTGTGTGATCTGTCCAGGGAATTTTAAGTAGTCTTCTAAATACCCACATTTCAAAGGCCTCCAATCGTTTCATCACATTGGCCTTTATGGTCCAAGCTTCTACACCATATAGCAGTATGGAGTAAATGTAACATTTTACAAAGCGATATCGAAGCGTTAAGTTGAGACTGCTGTTGCTTAGCAAGGTTCTCATATTAGTAAATGCTGTTCTGGCTTGCTCAATCCTGGTGGAGTTGCAGTTTATGTAAAAGAAAATCTTATGTATTCTTCTCTTAATCTAAATCAATATAATGTAAAGCAAAGTTCAAAGTTTTGTGCAATTTATGTACCTTCAATAAAAAACATTATTTTAACTGTATACAGATCGGGTAAAGGTGACTTTGACTTGTTTTTGGTGAATTTTGAGAATGTCATAACGTCCTTGCTTAGTAAAGCAAACTGTTCATACTAAATGATTTTAATATAAATTTTAAAATTAAATCTGACCGTTATTTTGAGATTCAAAATTTATTAACATCGTTTGTTCTAAAATTAACTAAAAACAATTATACTAGAATCACAACCCAGTTCAGTAGTTGTCGATGCTACATTATGACAAATTTTTCTGAAAATATCTACAGAGTAGACGTATTTGAACCTTGTTTTTATGACCATCGAGCTCAACATTTATTTATTGACTCTGAGCATCAAGTTGTTGGTACTAATCAAACATTTCAACTGTTTATTACTTCTTCTGGTTTAAAGAAGCTTAAACGTGCGCTAGTTAGTATAAAGATGGTCTTTTTCTATGATATTAATAATGAACTTAATTTTTTGACAGTTTTTCTTACCGAAACTTATAACAACCTTAATATTAAAGCATTTTCCACTAAAAAAAAGTACGACAAACTGTTGAAAAAACACCCGCGCAATGGTTTAATAATGAATTAAGGTCTTACAGATCTGATCTTTCTCTTATTAAACAGATTGTAGATGCCACTAAGGATCCCAATTTGTTCAAAGTATATAAACAACAAAAATTTGAATATAATCGGCAATTACAAATTGCTAAAAACTCAGCTTACTGTGTCTTTATTACTAATTCCAATAATAAACCAAGATACTGATGTAAAATAAATCAATTTTTTGTCCTTTTTAATTACAGAAATTATCTTTCTCTGAGCAAGTCTTTTTTTCGTCCCGTTGTGGAAGAAGAGATTTCTCAAATAATAAAGTCTCATAGTAATAAATTCTAATTGTAGGGACGTTAACGAAATTAATTTCCGAATTTTTAAAAGAAACTTTGTAACGTTATAAACGTCACATCTCTATTAATTTATATTTAAATAATTATTTCATTTTAATTTCTTTAGTAATTTGTTAATTTGTTTATCTTCAGTTTAATTTTATTATTTTTTATTTAAAAATAGTTGGCGCCCGCTATATTTCTTCCCCTGTTTTCATTTCTTCCTCTGTCATTATTTACTCTCTCTTTCTGTCACGTAGAATAAGTATTCGCCCTCTCTCTTTGTGTTCTGTGTTACAGACAAGCTAGTTTCATGAAACAGCAACATCCTGTGACATCTGTGCTAACTTCATTTTAGTCTCCCACTTTCTGTCGTTAAATGTTCTAATGTAGTGGGAATATTATTTTTTTTGCCTCTTTGACCATAATTGAATTATAATTCAATAAGCATTACATTGGGCATTTATTTATTGGATTCGTTGGAAATATTAATAATTTTATGGGACTTCTATTGGACCTTTTAATCAAACCGTACGACCACCTGTAACTGCAGCTCTAGCAGCTAGAACACACAAGTAGCCCATCGAACGAAGCAATCAAGGTATTTCATCAATTGTTAAGCTTTGGCAGGGTTAATAACTGTGTTTTTTATTCTTTTAAATAAATATGTTTGGTTAAAATTTGTTTTATTTGCTATCAACTGAGAACTCAGGTTCAATCCCTATTTTAAGTGGACACCTACATTGAACCGTATTTCTCCCGATCCGATATCGCCCGACGTCGGCCGACGTCGGATTGAAAACAAACTCAAGGTATTAAATCATAGTGCCTACACTGCTTCCATGACGAAGCAGTATAGGCACTATCATTTAAAACCTTGAGTTTGTTTTCAATCCGACGTCGGGCGACGTCGGGCGATATCGGATCGGGAGAAATACGGTTCCAATGTAGGTGTACACTAAGACAAGACGAACTCACCCTTGAGATACTAAGCTAGGCAAGGTATAGACGATAAGCTCCCATGGTTGATTGAAGTATTATTTTCACAATATTACTTCAATTCTCTTTGGTAGTCTTATCGTTACAACTTAGTAAATAGTTTTAATACCTTTCACTCATCTTATTAATTTAATTCTATCAACTGATAGTACTCAACGTACTGATAAAATACTCAAAAGTACTACCTATCTACAAAAAGGCGATTCCTGAAAAAATGACAATTACAATTGTTTCTACTTTTGGGAAAATGATTGAAAAGGATATCAAATAACAATTTTATTCCTATTTTGAGTCAAATAATTACTTTAGCAACTCACAATATGGATTCAAAAGTGCTCTTTCTACTACGAACGCGGTATTTAATGTGAGCGAGGTGATTGAGGGGCTTGAACGCGGCAATCGCATAGCAATTTATCTTTGCGACTTGTTGAAGGCTTTTGACTGCGTTTCACACGACATTTTGTTTCACAAATTAAATTACTATGGAATCAGAGGTATCCCTCTTAAGCATATAACTTCTTATCTATGTGGCAGACACCAGGCGGTAGTGTCTAAAGGTGATCTCTACAATTTTCTATCCGTAAAATATGGAGTCCCACAAGGTTCGGTCTTAGGATTTCTTTGTTTATTATTTATGAAAACGATTTGCCTAAATTCATATCTCCGTACAAATCCGTACAATTCGCAGATAATACGACATGCGTTATATCAGGAAAAAATAATGATGATATAAAAATGTCTCGTGAGAAAGTTTCTATTAAATCTAGCTCATGGTTTGCTGCAAACAATCCAAAACTTAACTATGATAAAACACAAAATTTGGTTATATCTGCAAGTACACAATGATCCAGATAACAAAGAGACTGTTAAACTATGGTGAATAACCATAGATAATCGACTGAACTGGTCGGCTCATGTCATCATATAAAAATGGCATATTTTTCTTTATTTCACTCTTACCTAAACTAGTTTAATCATATGGAGCAATTCAACAAATGCACTTCCAATTTTTAGAATGCAAAAGAAAGATATCAGGATTTTAGCAGGGGTTAGTTATCTAGAACACTGCCGACCTTTCTTTATCAAATTCAAAATTATGCCGCTACCTCTGTTGATATTTCAAGTTCTAACTGAAATTCACAGAAAATGGGCAAATTTAATAAAGCAGTTTTATGTCCACGTTCACAATACGCTAAACTATCACTAGACACGAACAAATCGCTGTAGATTACATCTTTCAGATAAAAACTATTACAATATTTTACCAAAAAGTATTAAGCAGCTAAGCTGTAATAGTTTCGATAAAGTTATAAGAAAATATCTTCTGAAAGATTACTTTTACTGTTCAGAAGAATATATGACTCATTTCAAAACATCCACTGAACTGCTTACCGCTAAATCTTTTTCTGTCTAATAAGTGTTCTTGTTTGTGATATAGGTAAGGTACGTTTTATATTCCTTTTTTATGTATTTTTTTTACTTGCTACAAACAATATTTGTATTTGTTATGTAGTTAAATCAATAAATTCTACACTCTTGTAAGAAAAAAACAATAATAAAAATAATAAACATTTACCTTTCTACTTTTTGGCCTACTTCTTACACCTCTAGCTTGATTTCTGCTGCCCTCTTCTTTTTCAACCCTCATTCTTTTCACCGGCTTAGGTTTAACAAACACGGAACTATCTTCTTTTGACTCGAACTCGTCGTCTGAATTGTTCAATATAGGCCTCTTCGTTACTAAAGGTCTAGTACGAATCCAACCAGTACTTGGCGGTTTCGTCTCGAATTCATCATCGCTGTTGGAAGTATTGAAAGAAGTATTCGCAGAACTTAGTATTTTTTTGGTGCGGTCGCTTAAAGCCACAGTTTTTGGACTTACAATCGCTGAATTATCCAAAAGGTCTTTAGTAGAATCCGCTGATTTAGAACCAAGTGTTGTATTTATAGAAGAATTATTGTTGTGTTCATTTATGTTTGCTTTTATTGAACTGTTTAAGGATTTTTCACTGGAACTTGAAGTGTTTTTGGTCCTTTTTGATTTCTTTGTATTAAAAGTAAAGATGAAAGAATCATTTTCAACATCAGAATGTTCGAGGTTTTCTTTCTGAGACGAACTATTCATTTGAGTTGGTTTATTAACTAAAGAAATAAGCTGCGTTATAGATGCTTGGGAGGACTCAGTTTTTTGGACGTTTTCGATATTAAAAGTTGACACACTCAACGATTTTTGTACGGTTTTGTCATTTTGAGTATTTAAGACATTGATAGCTGGATGTTTGCCATTAAATTCCCAACTTAGTGGGTCTGGTATGTCGAAATTTTTGTTGTTTGATATACTTGGTAGCTTAAAATTATCGTCTTCCATAAATTGTAAGAAATCCATTGATTCAGGTATGTCTGAGTCGTTTTTCTGCTCCCTTTCAGACTCAGAAACTTTATGAATCTTGTGTGCATTAAAATTGTGGTTTTCACGATGCATCTGAACTATTTTTTGGCTTAATAAACGCCCCTCATTAACTGAAGCACTATTTCTACTCATTACTTCAGACTCTTTCACTATTTTTCTTTTTGACTTTGCAATATCTACCAATGATTCCTCCATGTTAACTTTACGGTTATCCACTTGGGGAAATGTCGGACTCATTAGCAACTCTTCGTCAAAAAAGCTTCCTAACTCTGACATATTTACATTCAACTTGCAATTATTAGTATCACTTTCTGAATTTTTTCGAGAATTTGAAGAATCTTCGCAAAAATCGTTGGTGTTGCAACTATCAGTCAAATTAATGATTTCCTTGGCTTCTAAAACTGATCGATGTTTTTTACTAGATTGTGATTCAAAGAAAGAAAAGTCGAAGAAATCCTTTAAGTCTTCAGGTGGAGTTTTCTTTGGATCTCCAGTGTTGCCAGATGGTTTGTTTGAACTTTGGGACAATTTATCTACAATTTTTTCTGTTGTTTTACGTGTTAGGGGAGTACTGCTTAAATTTTGGGAATAAGTGGCCTCTATTTGTGAATTTCTGATAGTCACATTTTTCTTTTTGTTAAAGTAAGAACATATTATCGGTGAATTTGAGTCTTCGCTTATAATATCGTCTTCTATAATAACATTTTTATTTGCTGCATCAGTTATGTCAAAAATATCCGGGGAATACGTTATAGTGGCCTGTGAATCGGGAATATTCGCCTCGAAAACGTCTTCCAAAGTTTCTAATTTGAAAAAATGTAAAATATTCTTCGTTTCTTCTTCAGAGAAAACTTTTTTTATTGTAGTAACTTCTAACCTACTCTTGCTATTGTATTCTGTTTGTTGAGTATCTTTTGATAGAGGAAATTGCAAATTTTCATCTATTAAGGAAGTACTATATTTATTTAATAAGTTATTTAGTGACTTCGGTGCCATAAAACTTGCTGTAGTGTTGGAAAAGTCTGCCAAAATGCTTGTATCTATTAAATCTTCCAGCTCCATGACTTTAGTCTCTTTTTGCGTTGTCTGAGTCACAGGTGTCTCAGGAATTTTAAAATTTAGGCTATCATCGAACTGAAAACTACCATCAGCAACAGGATGCAAGCTTTTTTCAAAAGCTTTCAAGTCTTCTGCAGTGATGTTTGTGTACACCGAAGCATCTAGTTCTATCCATGCAAAAGCAGACTTGTTTGGAGTTTTATATTTATTTTTTCCACAATTTAACTGACTGGGGCATAGCGTACATTTTCTGGAGTTATCCTGTTGGATCGACAAAAAGTCCGCGAGTTCCCTGAACAGTTCAGGCTCTCCGAAATTTTTGTCTTCCGTATTGGTCGTTTGGATGGACTCTGCGATTACTTGAGTTGATGGTAAGATGAAATCGCTGGCACTTTGCGATTTAAAAAACATGTTTCTTATGTCAGTTTGTTTCATGTTTTTGTTTTTTTGCGTTGCTGTTGCTAAAAATAAAACAGAAATTAACAAAGATCGAAAAACGTTTTTTTAAACGAAGCTTCTATACTGGCGTTGTATTTTACTTTTGTCTCTATAGCGAAATGCTGAGGCGAGCGTCACAGAACTACCGCCACAAGATGGCGTCGTCACGTAGCGCCACAAGATAACGTCGGCGACACAAAATAGCGGTTCTTCACATCGATTCACTGCTCTCGATTAATTCGTTTCTAGTCATCATACATTTACTCTAAGCAGGTTTAAATTAAAAAACTTTACATTAAAAGACATTAAATAAAGAGTAAAAAATTAAAAAGTATAAAAAACAGATAGTAAAACAAACAGAAACATAAAAAATCGATACTAAAATTTGATTTGTAACGATTCTAGAACGTAAAAATGAAAAAGTCATCTTACATGTTACAAGAAGCTGTTAGTGGAGGAATTAGTACAACTCAAATCGAACAAACTGTAGACGATGAAAATCAAATTGAGTTTAATTGAAGCATTATTTGTGAATTTTGCAAATTATTTTACTGCTATTAGCTTCCACATACTTTGTTAACAAAACGATGTTTATTTTTGTAGAATAAAAATCATTAAACCCCTTTTTTTTCATTTTATAAAAATCTTACAAATCTTGCAAAATCCTCTTTTAATAACGGTATAGTTTTATGGGATTAAGCCACAATTGGTTGTAATGATAATTACATTAAAAAAAAAACTTTTTCTTTCTTAAAAAAAAATGTAATTATCATTTCAGCCAATTGTGGCTAAATCCCATAAAACTGTACCTTTATCAAATATGCCACAAATAAATATCTTCAGAACTTATCCTCTTTTAAGTTTTGTTAATAAAATAAAACTTGTTCGCACTTACTATTCTGATTATGTTTTTAAACTTTATACTCAGTTTTCCACAAATAACGTATTTATTAATAACGACCAATTTCATAATGAATTTAAAGTGAACATTTAATAAATTAAAAGTAAAATTTAAGTGTAAATTTAATTACCCCCATTATAGATGCATATATAACCCCAAAATTCTGACAATCTTGTTTGTCTTAAGTTTGTATAAAATGTTACTTTTTTCAAATTTAAAATTATGCTGACTGTATTCAAGTTCAAATTAATCCAAAAATGAATTTATATAAATATGTACGCCATTCAAAAGTTTACAGTAAATAAATTTTCATACATTTAATTTGTTTTTTAATAGGAATTAATTATGGTGATGCAAATGCAGAAGTATATCGTTCAGAAAAAGAATTTTTGCATTGAATGTCCAAAAAATCAGTGACTACTTTAAAAATTAGAAATATTGTTACAAAATGGCTGGGTTCTATACATGATCAAACAACATTTAATAATAGTGGCATACAAAGATTTAAAGCTGGAGCCTTTGTTAGGTTTGTACTATTTTTTATTGTTGGTGAGTGTGGTTACAGATTGAAATCACATTTAATGACACGACTAGACAAGATGCTGAAACAGAAGCAGATAATCTTTATAATAAATCTCCCATACGAACTAAGAATATTCTGGAAAGGCAATACAGGGTATGGCAACAATGATTCCCAATTTTTAAAAATCGAATGAGATTAAATCTGAAAATACCCATGAATTTAAAGCAGCAACAGAATTATTTTATAACGTCACCACAGAAAATGAAGTCTTGTTTCCTATGGATCATACTTTAGATCAACAAGAAGACAATTTAATTAAGATCAAAAAAAAGAAAACAATTTCCCTCAAATTCAAGGTGAAATTGAGGGAACATTATTGTGAATGATGTATTAGACATTTTGCAGAACTAGATTCACAATTTCTAAAAAACATTTTCTATTAAGACAATTGTTTTCTTTCGGAGGTAATTTACAATGTATAAGTTTTACACTTACTTTCACCTTTGTCAAGACAAACTTTTTATAGGAAAATTATGATACTTGAACACACTGAAATAAACTGAATAAATTTAATTTGATTTTTGACGCGCAACTCTGTGGGTATACTCACCCTGTATAGCTTCTAATTATAAAGTTTGTAGTACTTACCGATTTGTGACATCGGAATATTGAACCGACGTGATTCGGCCATTTGTAGTAAAGAAACCAATAATCCGCAGTTACTGGAATGTTCCACAGTATGTATTTCTTGAAAACTACGCTGCTTTTCAATTTTCTTATTGAAAATGTTTGGAACAACGTTTCCGTCAAAAGGATTTTCTGAAAACATAATCAAAAACATGAGATGCGAAAAATAGTGTAGAGGTAATGGATTTTGACAAGAGCTTTCCGGGATCCAACGGCACATGGAGTGCCACTCTTCGCTCCAATCTTGTCAGTTCATGCGGCACTGAATAGGACATAATTGTCGATTTTCGATCGGTAAATCAACATAGTTTAAATGGAGCTCAGAATCTGGTGCGCAAAACTAAAATAAAACTTGGTTACTTCACGCTCCATGGGAATGGCTCGACCACATTTCGACGCGCCAACCATGTTGGCAGGAGAACCTATAACTCCTAGAGAGCTCGTCCCCAGGTGGCGGATAGGGGAAATGCCCCACCCGGTTTACCGGTGGGTATGAGGGAAATAAAATATCTCTAGTGAACTAACAGGTAATTCACTGAATGATTGCCGGTATAAGCAATCTCCCACTTGCTGACGGCTTCGGGCGGACGAGTTGGTAGGTGGTAGGGCACTGTTTTGTCCTGGGGCTGAGAAACCGGCCCCAAAGGCGGAAGAATCAGTGGTTTGGTCAACGGCATAAGAATATAGAAGGCAACGAGAAACCGCTATATTAAAGATTCCATGACCACAAGACCTCCCCAGTTTTTAATATGCAAGATCCCTATGAGTTGAACAATAACACACCTATAAGAAAAATCCACACGAATTGTCTGAAGAGAATATCCACTTGGAACGTTAGGACTATGGCTCAATCAGGAAAAATCCAATGCGCAACCAAAGAAATGGAACGTATAAAAATAGTAATAATGGGCACATTTTATTACACATAAAAGTATAGCCAAACATGTCAACAACTTCATACCAGTGAACGATAAAATCCTCTTGTTACAAATAAAGACATCACCGATGAACACCAACATTATACAAGTCTATGCACCCACAGCAGATCAAAGTGATGCATTGAAAACACCGAAAAATAATGGATGTTCTAACAAAAGCCCAAATAGATGATAAAGACTGGCGTATAATACAAAATTTATACTGGAACCAATTAGCCACAATAAGAATAAATCTTAGAGATAAACCGACGAAAGCGATCTAGATTCTGCGAGGCGTTAGACAAGGATGTATACTTTCACCTATATTATATTCAACCTATATTCAGAGGAAATATTTAGTGAAGCCTTGTAGAATTGCGAACATGGATGAAATCCTTTTAAATGGAGAACGCCTAAACAACATGCGCTATGTTGCTGACATCCTTATTTTTGCAGACAATTTAAACATTTTACAGCAACTAATAAACAAAGTTAATGAAGTAGGTGAAATATTTAGATTACAAGTAAACATATCAAAAACTAAATTTATGGTCATCGGCAAAAATAAAATACAACAGTGGACCGAGTAAAACAGTTTAGCTATCTTGAAACAATAGTAAACGAACAATGGGATCACTCACAAGAAATAAAATGTAGAATGGAGAAGGCTGGGAGTGCATTCAACAACATGGCCAAACTCTTTAAAAGCCACAACCTTAATCTGGAGATAAAAGTAAGGCTCCTACGTTGTTATATGCTCTCGGATATTATACTACGGAGTTGAATCCTGAACAGTCACTGAAGTGATGGAGAAAAAACTTGAAGCCTTCGAGATGTGGCTATACAGAAGAATCCTAAGGATATGGAAGGACAAGATAACCAACGAGACTGTACTACGAAGAATGGGGAAAGAGAAGGTGATGTATACCATTAAAAGGAGAAAGTTAGAATATCTAGGACACATAATGAGAAACGGCACTAAATACAGATTACTGAAAATAATCCATCAAGGCAAAGTATTCGGAAAGCGAGTAATTGGGAGAAAGAAGAATATCATGTGTAAAAAACATGAGGAAATTGTTCTCCACAACAACAACTAATCTATTTAAAGCATCAGTTACTAAAATAATTATAGCCAGAATGATCGCCAATATTCGAAACGTTTAGGTACCAAAAGAAGAACCATGTTGGAACGAGGACTGGCACTCCACACGCCGTTGGATCCCGGCTTTGGTTTTTAAGAAAATAATTTGTTTATCTCAAATTGGCGAAAATTAAAAATTTTTGCAATGCTATAAGACACAATAATACAATTAAAGTTTATATGACGCTAACGTAAAATAAAAAGAGTTATTTTATAAATGTCTTATGCTTTAATAAATAAGTTTATATATATTAATTAATATATCTTATGTTCATAACTATTTTTCTTACAATAAATATCTTATCTTGAAAATTTTCAGTACCTTTTTGTATTGGCACAGAGTTTAATTTTTTTTATTCAAAAAGCTGGTATTTTTACGCGAAATTAACAAAAAAGTGTTATCTTTCCAGCCCTTTCGATCGAAGTTACCCTTTTTTTCAAAAATTCGAGACAGCTTTATTTATAAACATTAAAGAACAAAACAAATCATTTAATAATTTAACATTTCAAGTTTTACTACAATAAATTTCAAAAGGATTCCTTTTCAAGATAAACCCTTGGTAAAGCTTCAAATACAAAAAGTTATTCAGCGAGATTTTACGAGAACAGTGGGAGAAGTGTGAATTTAAAATAATGAAAAGTAAGTTAAAACTTCAAATTTAAGTAAATTGTAATAATCTATGGATGTTTTTTTTATAATTTCTATTAATTAGTTTTTTAAGTACCAAGTATATAACTATTCAATTAACTTTTTATTAAAATTAAAAATTAACTAATTCAGTACAAAGACACACTCACCTTTTACGGAAAACAGTTCAGGTTGGGGTATCTTTTCTTCTATTTCAACGATTTCGAGGTCCGGTGAAAATGCTAGCTCTGATGATTTCCTCGACCAACTTTTCAACATATCCTAAAATATTGTTATTAAAATAGAAATGTATTCATATAAAAATGTAGCATGATTTAATCATGTCTTAATTCGTTGGTCAACCTCAAAAACCTGTTCAGCTACTGTTTGTTATAATGAATCGACCCGATACTTTTACAAAAACTAAATGTATATCCACCGGAGACCACTGTTCAATAAAAAAAGGCCTATAACAATTCTTACCATAATTAGAACGTTACTGCTGCTAAAAGTGAACAAACACGTCGACCTCTTTGGAACCTACTTCATTACCAGCATCATTTTACACTATTGCCAAGCTGCATCTGCTGCTACTCTCTCAAGATCACTTAAGATGCCTTTTAAGATAACCGCAACAACATTTTCTTGCTAGTTACAAGTTGTTTAAGGTACCACCAGAAGTACCACCAGAAGTACCACCAGAAAAGCAAATGGCTGCCTAAGTAAACGGTTACCATGGTGCTTAAGAAAAATCTTTCTCATATCTCCATTTTTGTAACATATGTAGTACTCCACTATAATGCGTATAGAAGTTGTAAGTAAGAAAAAAGAAAATAATTTTGAAAATACTTTATCTTTCTTTTGTGTCTTCATTGTATGGAAACTTGGTGTAGCCCGGTACTTATTAAAGCTTAATTTTCTTGCTATTTACAAGTTCCTTAGATTTCTGCCAACTTCAGGCTGCTTAAACGGTTACATATATAACTCTTCGGAACCACCAGAATAGCAAATGGTTACCTGGGTAAACTGGTAAATTTTCATAACATAGTACCCAACCTTAACACATATAGGAGTTGTGAAAGAAAAATTAATAGAAAATATAATGGCAAATGATAAACAATCAAGAAATGATCAATCCCATATAAAACAATCTACAAATGCATCAGTTTCGACCATTAATCAAAAAGACCTGCATATTTTGGAGCTATATATTTAATAAGTCAACTAACCCAAAAAGGATCAATCTTTCTTTTAAATATTTACTTCTAAAGCTTACCTTAAGGTTTCCACCTTTTTTGGGAACAGGATCTTCCACTGTGATAAAAATCTTTTCACATTTGGGCGTTATATCGTCCGGAATCAATCGTGGACACTCACCGTGCAAACCTAAACATATTTTTGGTATTAGATCACGTAAAATTTTGCTACATCGAACTTTCGATTCAATTTTTGGAGTTTTCAGCAAGACATATTTCGTGATTTCAGAATCACGAATCTGAGTCACTAGATCACTTCACTTCTACATACACTAGCACTAAATGTTGCATTACTATGAATAGGTCAAGATGAAGACTCCAAAAAGCAATAAAAAAAGTGATTTACCTTTGGCCAATACTTTAGATCCTAAAACATGAAACGCCACGTTATTCTTATGAATGAGACAATCCTTAAGAGTCTGCTGCTCCTTTCCCTCTGTAACTAAAACGACAATTTTACCATCTTTCTTTCGGCCGGTTCGTCCCATTCTCTGTACCATTCGAATGGGAGATTTGTTGGAAATGTCGAAACATACAATCAGGTCCACTTCTCCGACGTCCAGGCCTTCTTCCCCTATGCTTGTGGATAAGAGAACGTTACAACGGCCCTCCCTGAAGGCTTTCACTACCTGATGAAAAATATTAACGATGAAATCATAAACTATAATAGTTAATAGCATCATCTAGTTCTCAGAATCTGGTTTTACTTACAATCATTAGATTGTGCTGTCAAATAAAATGAAAGAAAAATAAATGCTAAATGTCTTGTACTTTCAAATAAATTGAAGAAAATAAATCTAAATGTCTGTACTTCAATAAATTAAAGAAAATAAATGCTAAATGTCTATACATACACTAATTTGTGTTTTCTGACTGACTCCATTTGCCTGCCCAATAAATATCCTGGGTTTCAACACTGGTTTTGACTGAATTAGTAGTACAAAAGCTTCCATCACAGATTCCCTATACTCAAAGAACACAATAACTCTACTAGAATCACCAGTTTCATTAAAATGCTCTAGTAAAATCTCTTTAAGTTATAAAACTTTGGATGGCCAAATTTGACATTTGGTGGCACCTAAAATGTACACAAAAGTGACTTATTGTTGCTAAAAGATGAAACAATTCTATTACTTCTGGATATTCACCATCAGGAAGTTGTTGAATATGAGGAAGAGATCCCATGTGTTCACGTATAGTTGCCATGATTTCTCTAATGTCAGTATTATTTCTTAACAGTGGTTTATCGATATGTTCTGCAACAAATAAAAATTAGGGTTTGCCTAGGGTTTTTACTCTTTCTTACCTTCAAAAAATGTCAAAAAACTTCTTAAACCGTGTCTAATCAATAGTTCAGATGCATGATAGAGGGTTATGCAGATGTTTAAGCTTTTCATAATTTCTGCATAATTTGGACTAAAAAAAAAATAATATCATACTATACTGTTTTTATTCTCAGGCTAGATTTCATTATTCTATAGCAATCTTGTCATTTTTTTAAATTCTTTGTGAAAATTATTTGCGAATGTATGTGATTTTTTGCAATAACTGACTTAGCTAGCTTATAATTTATGCATTAGTCCTTCTAGCCTACTGTGTCATATGCTGTTGTTAGGTCTTTAAATACAGCACCAGTCTTTTGCCTCTCCTTGAATCCTCTTTCAATATATGTAGTTAGAGCTAGTACTTGGTCCTTGCAGGTTTGATCTGAAGCCAGCTTGGTGTGTTGGGATTTTTTCAAGCCCCAAAGACCTTAATCTGATGTATATGAATTGTTCAAACAGCTTAAAATTAATGCTAAGTAAGGCAAGAGATCTACAACTTTAAAGTTTGGCATATTGTTACCAAAATTAGTAATATTTTTAAAAATTTGGAAAGAAGACCGTTTTTTGTAATATTTAGACAAACCTATTCATCGAAAACCACTTTTAAAAAACAAAATTATGGATTTACATAATTGTTGCTGAACAGTAATTAGAAAATTGTTTATAGAAAACAAATGACAATATAGGCACATGACTGCATATTTATTACATAAACCAATCAATTTTGAATTCATATCCTGGGCTTCCTTGGGATATAATAATGGAAAAAAACAAAATAAATTACATGTACTATTCATATAGATAAGTGTATTCTTTTGATAAAAAACATTAGAAATCCTACTATATATTTAAATAAACTTATTATAGTTCTTACCTTGTCCCACGAGCATTTTGTTGATAATTTTTCATAAGAATGAAAATTTTTCCTTTAGTCAAGTTTGCACAGTTCCCCTGAATAACTTTGTATCTTATAAGAGTCCTTGTATAATATTCTAAAACCTAAATGAAGACAGATTTAAAAAATATATCCAGACCTGAACATATCAATTTTGGGGCATCAGTTTTTTCTTTAATATCTTTTTACTTTAAACCAATGACTTATTTTATTGAGATTGTCATTTTTTCATGCATTGCTCATTATTTACAATAGGATTACTAATATAAGTGCTGTTATGGTTGGATATGACGAAATATTTCCTATTAATAAAAACCAAAACCAAGCACACCTGTCCTAATCTTCAGCTTTACTATTTCTCTACAAGGAATTCAAATCACAATGAATTTAGTTTGAGTTATTTTACAATTTTTTACAATTTACTTCCAAATGATACAAAAACACCACATTTTTTCATAAAACTTACTTTCATATATGAATCTTTTACTTCCTGTAACTTAGTACCCAAAGGAACAACTACTGTTGTCAAATTTCTTTGAAAAACATAAGGGCTTACATCTGCACTCTCTTCTGTGCGGAATTCTAGATGTGAAATCAGTAAATTTTGAACAACCTATAATGCATAAAACTATTTAATAAAAATAGTCTGTCAAAAACCATATTTTTATTATTTACCTCTAAAACATCATTTATTGTTCCACCAGGTGTAGCACTTAGAGCCAAAACTCTAAAATACTTGTTGGAACTGTTAAGTTTTCTTATGACTTCACAATATGCATGATTGCCTCTAGCTCTGTGGGCCTCATCAAACACTAAACATTTTATTTTAGGAGCTAACTCTTTGAACTTTTCTAAATCGTTTTGCAGAATTTGAGGAGTAATGAAAAACACTCTTTTTTCTTTCCACGTATCTTCTCTGGAAGTGGATATCTAAAATAAAATACATACTATACATCATAACAATATATCCCTTCTAAGAATTCTTTTGCTTTAGAATTTATTGTAAAAACTATGAATGCCAATTATTTTACTTACTTTGGCCCCAGTGATTTCCACAGTACACTCTTTTGGTATGGCCATAATATCATAGCAAGCATCTATTTGTTGCTTTACCAGGGGTTTTGTGGGTGCCATAAATATTACTTTGCTCTGGGGATACCATCGAAAATAGTTAAACATCACTACAGCTGCTATAAATGTTTTGCCTAGACCTGTAGGCAAACTAACCTGAAGAATTCCAATTATTAGAAAAATCATTCCTTCATTTGACAGATATATAGGTGATTAAAATTATTAAAAAGTACTAACAGTACTAGAAAAAACTAAAGCTGTTAAGGAAATGTAACCTACTAAAGTGTTTTTAAGTAATGCCTCTTGAACAATGTTGTATTGGTATTCTCGAACGGGATAATTTGTCGGATAAATCCATGTTTCACCTGCTTGTAAATCAAAACCTTCTGTTTCTAGATCTTTGGATAAATTTGTGGATCTATAATTTTTAGAAATTATAAACAATATAATTACTAATATGCTACATACTTACAATGTGTTGTTTAAATTTTTACTCATACTCAAAATACAAACATTTTTAATAACTATTTACAATGTTTTAATTGAAAATGATATTTATATTTAAAAAAACAAAAACAAGTTTTTTCCACTTTCCACATGATTTGAAAATTTGACGTTGACAATATGACCACGGCACAGTATAGTGCTTTAAGCACTATACTGTGACCACGTAGCTCTTCTCCAAATAGATAAATAATACCAATTAGATTAGAAGAAGTTAACCTTAACCTCTTAAATATTTTCGGAAGAATATTACAAATATTTTGTAATAAACAAATAATATGGAAGATAGGCAGAAGAACAATTAAAAGAAAAATAATAAATATCAACAGTTTGTAGTTCATTTTAACATGGAAGTAGAATTATTGAAACCTGGAACTGTTCCTATTTCCCCTGAAACGATATTATGGTTTGAATTTCTGTTAGATCCGAATTTGTTATTGAAGCACCTAGAAAAGTTATCAGCAGGTGAGTATTAAATGAAGTGGTTTTAAACTAGTTCTATAATTATACAATACGTATAACCGAGTACAATGTACAAATAAATAATTTTCTAGTTATTTTTTCAAAGTTCATAGTTCCTTTCCAAAGGTTGGCTTAGTGAGACATAAAATAGTCCACAAGGAAAATTCCTGTAATTGGCTGTATACCATAAATCACAAAAGTTTTATTTAAAAATTCTTTATAAAAGGTATATAATTAAAATACCCTTTTGGACTATATCGCAGAATGTTTTGGGCTAACAAGTCCATCATCAGCGTATTTACCAAGTCAGGTTCTGATTCAAGCCACTAAATATTTGGATAAAACCCTTAAAATGATACAAAATTTGTAATTTGTTACTTACATCTTTTTTAAAAAATTGGTGTGATGTTATTTAAAGATACCCCTGTACATCTTGTAAATACACTGATAAGACTTATTGGTCTGAAAACGTTATGTGATGTAGCCCAAAAGGTTCTTATAATTATATACCTTTTATAAAGGATTTTTAAATAAAAATTGCATAAAATAGTGTGTTTTTTATTTGAAAATGAACTTCTTGGCAATATCCAATATGGATTTTCTTTCCTGTATTTTAGTATTAAATCCTTATTTAACTGTTACATGTTTTTTAAATCCTATTTCTTTTTGTTACCAATAAATATGTTCATTTATATAATTATACTATGAATTATTTAGAAAATACACTTTTTCAACATTTGTGTATGTCTAGCTTTGTTGGCTTCAGAGTTTTTGTTCAGCTTTTCTTTCGTTGTATCTTCAGATATTTCTTGAGCTCCATTATCCATTTCTTTCTTCATTATTTTATAAGCAAATTATTGAGCAAGTGACTAACATTGTATTCTAGTAGATGGTATGTAAAAAAAGTTATAGATATTTTTATTAAAAATATATTTTCCCTGGTAATACCAATTTTTTATGAATATTTATAAATTCAAAAGTAAATTAGCATATTAAGTCCTGGGCCATTATAATATGGGTTTTCTGTCAGACCAGAAAACTACAGCTATAGAAAATATCATTGCTGTGACCTGATGGGTACACACAGTCCTAGATATAACTATACTGTGTACCACTGGAATCAATATTTTAATGACTTTTAGATCTCACTGACTCCAAAATTATTTATTTTTTCATAAACCAATTACTAATTTGGTTTCTAATACACACCTTGTGGTTTTTTGTAAATATTTTCAGATCCTCCTCCTTCAGAGCTCATAACAAAATTTTACGATGTCATCTCAGAGACTTTAAGAAACAATCCCGACACTGAGAATGGAGAAATTATCAATGTAGAAACCAATAATGGCAAAACTAAGCCTCCTGCCAAGACAACTGCTTTAAAAATTTTGTCTCTTAAGGTTGGAGCCTTTTTGAAATGGAATTTAGGTAAGGAACTCATAAGTCTGTATTAATAAAGAAATAGTGTTCATATTGGATGCCAAAAAAATAATTTTTGAATATATTTTGTTGTGTATGGTGATGTTTCAAACAGAAAGCTAATATAATTGGTTTTGGTTCTACTTGGAAAGTTTTATATAATGGTACATCTGCCCAGCACTTTTGTACAAGTTTTTTTAAAATTAAATGTGATCTGATTTCCAAGAATTGTTAAGTTAGACAATAAACAACAATAGGGCTGGAGTTAGATGAAAATTCCTCTCCCTGGCCATTTTTTTAAATTTGGAAATCTATGATAATTGCTAAAATTGTTATTCATGTGGAATAACACTTTAATTTTTATTAAATGGTACTATGTTTCTTTTTGATTTTGTTGCCAATTTGTTTCCTGGAATTAACATAATACTCCCATTTACTGTTTTTGCCTTTTTTAACTCTAACTCTAAATAGGTTGTTTTCCTTCTGGCAAAACTGTTTTTGTCTCATTTCCCACACCAAATATTTTTTCATTTCCAAAGTTTTTAGAATTGTCATGAAAAGCTGCAAACAGTTCATAAGAAACACTTAAAAGATTTAGCATCACTCCAATGCAACCATGGCAGCCAACTTGTTGAGTATTATTTTCTTTTCAAAAGTCTTTAGCATTGTCACAAAACCAGTGAAATGGTTTGTATAAACATCAAAAACATCCTGTTAGGTAGTAAAAACTGTGGCAGGATATGCAATGAGTATTTTTCATTTCAAAATTCTTTCAGGAATGTTGCAGAAACATGTAAAAAACTCAAGAGAAATACTCAAATGATGCTCCGAGTGTTTTTTATTTCCAATTCTCCTATCATTTATAGAATAGTATGCAGGATCACCATAAATAGATCATAAATAATAATTTATATTTATCTGTCAAAACAAATCAACTTCTTTTCATATGCCTGCATCCAGTGACTTTTTAAAGAAAAAAACTGATATATTTTTTTTGTTTTTTCTGAAAGTTCTATGATGTATTGGATTTTCTTGTAGAGCTTAATTTATTTTGTCTTAGGAGATATCTTGGCAGAGGACTGAGCAATGGTTTGCTGCAAATAGGTTGGTTCTGAACAACAATAAAACTAAACAAGTGATTTTCACAATGAGAGATGTAGTTGATATGAATGATGGAGTTAGATAGATTAAGATTTTTTTAAGAGTTCTTTTGGGCCCAAAATTACAGTGTTGTCCACATATGACTCTTTGAAAATTTTTCTCACTGGAGACTTTATGTACTACATATCACTCCATATTCCACTCACATCTGCCATTCTCTCTCCTTGTCTGGGGTCATGCAGCTGACACTCACAAAGTATTTGGTCTGCAGAGAAAGGCAGTCAGAGTCCTTGCTGGTTTGGGATTTAGGGAGGATATGAAAGATTAGGATCTTACTTTACCTGCACAGTACATTATAGAAAACCTTCGATTCGTGAAGAGAAATATCAATCTTTATATAAGTCATGAAAGTTAGCAGTTATGGTACTAGGCATAAGAAGAATATGATACCAGCATATTGGCATTTGAGAAGGTGTCAAAATGGACTAAGGTATTGGACAATAAAATGTTTTAATGTTCTGCATGAGAATATCAGAAACTTTCCTGAAAAGTAATATGAAAATATTGATAAACAATTCCTTGTATACAATTCATGAATATTTACAACATAATTTTAATTGAAGTTTTATACATATTTGAAGTGTGTAAGATATTATATTTTTAACATGAATAAACATTATTGAGTATATGTCTCTTTGCTCTATTGTATCTATTACCAGCAAATTATGTACCCGAATTTTTACAATATTTGCTTGTTCTCCACATCGCCCAACCTATTTTATTACCTTCATTGCAGTTTCCATTTTCACAAATTTATTTTCTGGTAGCAACACTCTGCATTGTGAGTATCTATTCACAGGGTTTTGGATTTCTTGATAGTTTGCTTGGGTTTATTGTCTTGCAGATGTCCTATTATTGTTTTGACAGCCTGGTCCAACCTGGGTAGTCTTCGAATCACAGATCCAACTGCTGTCTTGGTTGTGGGTTAGCAATCACCAGGCATTCTTGTTCTTCTAATGGTTTTTTTTGTAGGGGTTTGTTTTCACAAAAAGGTTTAAATAGAATAATAATGGGGTTAGGATGTAGTTTCCTCAGTGTAGAATGTGGAAAAAAGTCAGGAGTTTGCATTGCATGGACCCTAAATCTCTGAAGTGAGTCTATCATCTATTTGTATCATACAGAAGTAGTTATGTACTACTGTAAAATGAAATACCATTGCAAAGTTAACAAAACATTTTTTTGTTGATCTTTTGTAGAGTCCTTGCGAAATTTGAGCTTAATTGTTCTTAGAGAATAGAAGTCTCTTTTATATGTGCCAGTAGCACTACGTGATTCTGATTCATGAGTTAGTTCTGTGGTTTATTGTTAAATTTCTTAACTTTTTCAAATTTCTGCTCTTAACTATATTATCTGTTATAGTCCAAATAAGAAACCTGCCTTTTAAGACACAAATAAGTCTCTTACAAGATCTGATGTATTTCACCAATGATAAAAAGACAGTAGAAATACCAAATGTTGAAGAAGAAGATGTTAAAACCGCCTCGCCGCCATATTTGTTCGCTCTGTTGTTATTTCACAGATGGTTGCTGAGTACTTCTATGCACAGAATAACATCTAATTGGCAAATCAGATATGGGTAAGCATTTTTTTTACTTATGAGTGAATGAGTGATGAGTGTTTTAAGATAAACTAATGATGATTTAGTGACTTTAACATTAAGAATGCTGATCTGATGCAGACTATATAAAGTTATTTTCTAACTGTTTTTTGTTCTCAGTATAAACGACATTTCAAAAGCAGACGAATCTATTATATGCTGTCCTGAAAACATCAACAAAACAGTCAATTTCCTAACCGAAGCCCTAGAATGGCAAATCATCCCTGCTCTTCTAACATTTGACTGTTTCAAGCTACCCACAGAATCTAACGACTGTATAGAATTTGAATGGACCAAAAGCGAAGAGCTAAAGAAGAACGAATTTTCTGCCCAGATCAACTACGATTTGGGCACATTCTTTTTCCACCGGGAGCAGTACGATTTGGCGAAAAAACATTTCTCCAAGTGCCTCGAACTATTTGCTGACATTCCTGAGATCAACGGTTTCTACGATGTTGACAAGCAAATGCTGGATGTGTATATTAAAGCGTGTCACGGATCCGCTGATATTCAGAGAGGGAATCTGCTTGAACAGCTTAACAATTCTGTAGTAAATCAATATAAAGTAAGTAAAATACTAACAAAACTATTATTATCGTATTATATTTATTGACGTCATTGATCAATTTCCTCTTTTTCACTACAAGCATTAGGTTTGTCTGTTGTCTCTTCACAACTGCATTACAACCATCTTTTTCTTAGTGTTTCTTATCTCTTTTTCTTCTTGTATTATAAATTCACTAGAAAACTCATAAACTCATTAATACTTGCTAATACTATAGTTTATTAAATTACTATTTGATCGATCCTATAGGGAATTACGACTATTCTACAACAGGATAATGTGGCCAAAGAGATTCCTCTAATGCATAGAATCAATCTGGAGTTGGACATTCAAGGCGCTCTATCAAGCGGCGCATTTACAGTCGCTAGAGATTTGGTTTCAAAAATTAAGGCACTTAATATTCTGAGGTGCGTTTTGGATAGAAAACCCATATATCAGCATTCGTTATGCTTGTATAAAAACTGTGATACATTGATATGGGTGAGTTGTGGTGATTTTTTTTACTTATTAACTTCTATATCATCAGTGCAATGTTAAAAGCACGAATGTGCATATTTAAAGTTTTGAGAAAACTGCTTTGTAAATGGTTACAACAACATATAACAATCAAATAATATGTTTTCAAACTATCTATCTGGCAAGTGAGGGGTATTTAGCCTTTAAACACCACGCTGGCTAGACGTGTTGGTGAGTGTTTGTTTCAGCCGCCCATTCTGGGTCCGACGCAGTGTGCGGCCGCCCATTCTGGATCAGACGCCGCGGGTTTTGATCTTATACTATCCCTAAGATCAAGGGTTGCCAACTGGGTCAAATTGGATAAAAAGTGCTCAAAACAGAGCACAATGGACAAAAATGAGGGAGGCCTATGTCCAGCAGTGGACGCAAAGGGCTGGGTGATGATGATCTGGCAAGTATATGCTTGCCGCGATTTACAAAAATGTCAGAAAAACATTTATTTTTTTGTTTTAATTTTTTGAAAAAAAAAACACATTCGTGGTAAAATTTGTAAAATTTATAAAAAAAAAACATTTTCGTTAAAATAGAAAACTAGATTTTGCAGTAAACAGGAATTTATGGAAACATTTTTCTTTTAATTGGACATGTTGTCAAAATACAAAAAATGGCAAATAAAAATACACTAAATGGCAACTTAAACTGTAGTATGAAAATAGTAACTTAAACTAAACAGAACAATTCCAAAACTCCTAAAAACAAAAGGTTTTCTCATTCTTAGTCGTGGTCACTGTGGCTTCGTCAATATCTGGCTCGGCTAAGCTATCCCGGATGGTCTGGCTTGTTTGTAAATTTTCGTAAAAATTATGATAGGCTCTAGGAATCGTGTGATCTTGGCAAATTTTTAGTAAATCTTTTTTTTTTGCTTGACAAATCTAGTTAGTGCTGAATTATAGGCTTTTTTTACTGCTGGGGATGACCTGGGATTTTTGTTTTGAGACAGTTTACCTCAATAAACATTTTTTCAGAAAAATCAGTCTTGTAATAAATTTTTGAGGGCTGTTTTTTAAGTAACGAAGCCAGCAAATCCTCCTCCAGGGAATCGGAAAATTAAAGTTTGTGCTTGAAAATAATTTGAAATTAAAAATATCGTCATACACATAATGCGTACATCAAACGGTTCTGGTGATACTCGAGCAGTTCTTGCCAATTGTGCCCAACCATCTGGAGTGTAGACTGGCACGTGTTTACTCTTTTTTTCAATTTTAAAGTGAACTGAGTCACACTACATTTCAGTGAGACCCGTTTCAAAAAAACGATGGTCGATTACCCCTAACGATCGATGATTAGTAAGGAGTTGCTTACGCATACCAGCAAAGACAGTGTTTTTTTGCTGGCCACCACATCCGTCTGACATCATACGAACTGTTGTTATTTCAGAATGGGACATAATGAAATTGTATACAAAGGAAGCTACAATTGGCTCCTCGGTTCCCTTGTGTCTCGTCCCATAGATAGCAACTAACGTTTTGATTGCGCAAGTTGTACATTGTCAAATTGTACACTGCCAGCTTTCTTAAGTAAAAAATTTAATCTGCAGACCCTTTCGGGGCGTTGAGGACTGCTTGAAGATCAAAATTGAAGGCTAACACACTAGTATCTTCTTTCGCAACAATTTTATCTTCATTGCGAGCTTCTCTAACAGCATTTTTCTATCTAAATGTCTTTTAAACTCCTCCTCGTTTAAAACCTTTTCTTGTTCGCTTAAGTTCTTCTGAGACAAACATTTTTTACATCGGTCCTTCTTGGGTTTACAAAAACCCAAATTGTACTCGCAAAATATTTGTCTGTATTTTTCAAAACAAACTGGTTTCAAACTTTGTATAATGCAGCTTTCCTTGTACATTATTCTATACATCACTGACAAATTTAAAGAAGAATCTAGGTACTTTTTGCTACTAGAAGCCCTGCAATAATGAGATTCAACGGACGGGAAAGAAAGAATGTGTTTCCGTATGAAACCTTCAGCTGTATCAGATATTTTGTTAGATGGTAGCTTTCCACGTTTATCGTCGTTCCAAAAACCACGTGAAGAGGAGAGCTTTAAACAACTACGCATTAAGGCATCTGTTACATTTAGTGTCGCCCTAAAAAACTCTCTACATACCTTGTGTTTCGTACCATTCACTGTTAAAAAAAAATATTTGCAAGTAAAAGCTGTACGAGAGTTTTCAATATTTCGTGTAGTTCGGTTTTTTTTTATCTGTTCTATGTGGCTGCTTAAAAATTGTCGCTGGTGGTCAATACTTTGTAAATTACAAAACTCCGTATAAATTTGCAGGCGGCATTCTTCATTAATAAGATCAGTGCATTTGTGTTTTGCTTTGCCGAAGTAAGGGGCAGGCAAAGGGGGCCGTGCAGGTTTCTCAACTTCTCTATGTCCAATGTACGATTCGCCCTTTAATCTTTTTACCTTCCGAATGTTTCTTTTCCAAAACATCTCATTTCGTTGCCTTTTTTTTAAACTCTCTTGTCATTCGTTTCTTTAGTATCGTTGATTTTGGTATTTTCATTGGGTGTACGATTACTGGATTTATTTTCTGGTAAATCTGATGAACTACTTGAATCTGTTTCTGCTTCACTTTCTGATGGCTCATAATTATCAGAAGAAGAACAGGAAATATTCAGACGGTCAACAACTGATTCGTTTTCTAAAATTATTGGAAGGACTTGGGGTGCGTAGTAGAAGTAGACGGCTGTGATTCCAACTCAATAGTTTCGTTTTGCAGATCTGGGAATGCAAAAGGTCTATCACTTGACGCATCTAAAATTAAAAATAAAATATAGGTTTATAAGACACTACATACAAAATGTCTCATTTGCAAATTAGAAAGATGGTAAAGATAACGTTAAATAAAGGCAATCTTTTAGTTATGAGTAGAATAACAAGCACAAAAATGGTTAACTAAGCGCTTACAAAAGTATATCAATTTTGTGACAAATTAACAGTTTAAGAAAAAACTAAAAGAACACTCATGAAGCACCCCACTCTTTTTTTGGCAGTAAACTAAATATTATTTCTTATTTTAAAAATTTAATCCAGTTTCCGTGATACCAAATTATCATTACAACTATTGTATTGCCATCGGTCCTTTGTAAATAATAATATACGAAACTTTAAATAAATTACATGTAAGTGGTTATAAATTAACTACATTCAAAAATTATGTTGCAATGATACATACCTACGGATAAGTGATAAAAACCTAACCGCGTAAAAACAACAAACCATAAAATAGGTAGAGCAATTCTCCCTCATTCTTCAAATTGAAGATTCACGTGTACTAAAATAATAATAAAGAGATTATCACTTACCTTTCAAATACAACATTCGACTCCGTTTTATTATTTCTTTTGTGCGAGATCCCATCTTGTAATCCAAACAGTATCACGAATGTAATAAAATTAAACTGTTAAAAACACGAATGTGACACATTCACTATATCAGACTTATAACAATGCAATACGGAAAACACCGTGTGTGGTACATAAGTAAATGAAAAACATCCACTCTCGCGGAACAAACATTGAACACTAGGAAGAGCATAGATTACCGAATACATTCGTGGAATTGGCATTGACAACTTTGAAAGTTAACAGGTTTGCCAATGTGGATACGCGAAAATATCTAAATATGCACATTCGTGCCTTTAACATTGCAGCGACGATATGTTTAAATAAAATTGCACATTCTATAATATTGTTCTAAAATGGTTCGATATCACATGGTATTGTACAGTTGAATCAATAATATTTTCAGGCAATTCATTCTTCTTGGAGTTCGTTCTCCTATGTTGATAAACAAACCATCAAAACGTTTTTGATAGAAGAAATCATAAGAGGTGATATTCCAGATTTGTTGTCTAAAGTGCAGTCCAACAAAGACATTTCTTCGGCCTTTGACAAGCTTGATTTTTCATATATTGAAAGCTTCCACTCAACTATTGATATACCGGAATGTGTGATCAAAATGGAACCATTAGAGACCAATAAAAGAAGTAAGTAGAACATATACTTCTCACGATAATATTTATCTTGGCTTATATCGTTATTAAATTACTAGACCATCAATATATTGTATTGATGGTCTAGAAATAATACCAATCGCACAACATGAATGTTCATAACCAAAAGTGCTTATTTATTCTTCAAACAATTAAAAAACCAATATTTACAACTTCTTATGTAACAAATACACACAACTTAGAAATGTTTGTTTATATTCCAAAATATATTAATAACATTACCTTATATTTTAGGAAAACCAAAACTAGAGTTAAGACAATTAGAAAAACAATGATCATAACAATAGATCATGTAGAAATCAAAGAAATATTAGTTAAAATTGCCATGATGAATTTAGGCACTACAGTTTGGTCTATAAATCCACAATGGGAATTACCGATTCCTTTACAAAGTGTTGTAAAGTCTTTACCTAGAGGTAAGTTAAAATTTTAGAGTATGTAAATGTGAAAATGATTAAAAGAGTCATTTTCTCATATACATTTGTTGTATACGAGGGTAAAATGAATAATAAATGTTTTACAGGTTTCGTGCAGGATTTTGCTTATGTCCTATTAGCAAAATCCAAGGAGCAACTATTAAACAAAAACTTCAACTTGTCGTTAGAGTTTCTGGTCATACTGGAAAAGGAATTGCAAGTAACCAACTGCAACTTGACGAAACTTTTTAAGCTTGTCAGTTGGGAAATTTTGCTCGTGCAGATTGTACAGATACTGGATCAGTGGCCCATCATCGTCATAGGTAAGAATGTTTTTATCTTATCTGGGGTAATATACGAGGGTTATTCGATAATTACTGAGCTGACGAGAATTTTGAAGGATCCTCTTAACCATTCACTAAAATTATATTTTAATGAGGTAAATATGATAATATGGAGAGATCAGTCAGTTAGTCTGCTTTTGTCAGCATGTATAAATAAAATATTTTCATTTAAGAAGCGTAACAGCAACTAAAATTAATTGTTGAAGTCTATTACTTTCAATTTGAGTGTTTCTTCTCACTTTTTAATCAGTTTTTGCTAGGATTCAAAGGTAATTTTACGTTGTTTCATAACACTGAAATCTGACTCTCTAAATAATGGACAACGGTCCGAATAATGGACATATAAAGATTCATTGCTACCAAACTAGGCAAAAGTGGTTTTGACCAGAAAAGTAAATATCTAACAACGTTACAGGCCTTTTGTATTTAAGACCTTCTCTATGTTTTGTTGTTAATACAGTTTAGATGTTTTTTAACATGAACCATTCCCAATATTTTCTTAATTACTTTCTAAGATCTGCATCTGTTAATTACTTTTTTTCCTATGTTTAGATAAAAATGCAGTAGCCGACGCCTGCGAAGCCTGTTTACAAACTAGCGATTCTGTCTTACCGCGAAGCGAAATCGTCGAGCAGTGTGTTATATGCTTGATCAATCTCGGACGGTGGGAATTTCTGACAAATCTGGACAAAAGGTGGGCCACGTTCGAAATCCCTTCAGCGATAGCTCTTTCATGCCAAGAACTCACTAAACACAAAGGGACCAAAAAGTTATCCAAAAATCTATGGGATTTAGGTAAGTTTTTTATTCTTTTAGTTGCCATATATAGGCAACCAGTAATACGGAATATTTGTGGTTTAAAAATATAGCGCTGTCGCAAAAATCGCAATTTGAGAAAGTCGTGGCAGTCTTTTCGATGATATTTATGGTCGGGAGTAAAGGAAGCCATTCTTAAAGTAGTAAAAAAAAACAAAAACTTGTACTACAAACGTTAGAGTGTGTCTCTGGCTGTTCTTTTTGGGACATCCATATTTCTTAAATGTAATGAGTCTGCAAACGTAGATAGAAACAACGTATTTCTTTGCCATCCATGGTAACTAGCACACCAGAGCTTTTCCACAAGTTTTAATATATAGTAACACTAATATAGACCCTTAAATTTGACTTGAATTTATTTTAAAAAATGTGGAATTCATTTGTAGTCATTTTGGACAAAAAACTTGCGTTATCATCAATGTGTATTGATGATGACACAATATAATACATTACATTCCTTTTCATGGCGTCAACTGATGATTGTTCTATGATTTCAGTATTGCCACTTTTTGCGTCAACTTCACAATCGAAAAGAAACGCCGCAAGTTTCAACGATTCGTCAAACCTTAAGACCAACCTGGTGTCTATATTTTTCAAATTAAAGGAATCTTGGTGTCTCACCACTGTCATATCTATGTTAACGAAAATGTTTAACATACTTAAAGACGAAAACGGCCTAGAGCTACAGGCCGAGTATTGCAATTTGTGGCCAGCTACCGTCAGCAAGTAAGTATAGTTTAATAAAACTACTAATTATCTATTAAATTATTGTTTTCTTGGTTTTTATTGGTATTTTTGAACGTGTAAGATAAATTATTTGTTCATAAATTATTACTGTTTACATTGTTTTCGATTCGAATCCGTCGAACCGAATCATTAGAATTAACTTAATCTTCCATCTCTACACAATATTTTTAAATGTATTCCTCACTATATAAAATTCATTCATTCTTTTTTATTATCGATTTTTTTAAGATAGACCTTTATAAATGAATATTATTTTATTTTAGTGCAAATTCGTACAATATCGTAGCTGTTAACGAATTACTACTGGAGGTAATCACCCACGGTTTGAACCAATATCCGAATAATGTTGCGTGGCTAAGATTGATGGGTGATATAAATTTTGGTAAGTTTCATACATCATAAAATAGGAATACTGATACAAAAAAAAATTTTAAAAAATAAAAAAAACTAGATTTAAGGATAGTTTCACAATGACTAGTTATTATAAGAACATTATATAAAAAACCGATATGATTAAATATTCTGCAGTTTATCACCAGGATAAATTTTGATATATTTCTGAAATTATTTATAACAGAAATGAATTGTGCAGTACAAAAGATATATTTATGCATATAACATTGCAACAAAGATATGTAAGTTGCCTATATTTGGTGCAATTGTAAGGGAAATTCCTGGCTTATCTGAAGTATTAATTTTAAAAGCTCTTATATATATTTTTTAATTATCTATACTTACTTTGTTTATAAAACTAATAAATTTCACATATACATTCGCTTTAGTCCAAATACAAACTGATATTGCATTGCTAAAGTTATATTTGTGGCAATCATTTATGATTATATCTGATTTGTTGATCTTTAAAACTTACATTTTTTTCAGCAAATGGCCATTACCAAATATCGTTAAGTTACTATCTGAAATCCCTCCTCGTCTTTCACGATTATTTCAACACTCCTATCGGCTATGACGACCACGTGTTCCGAAGAATGATAAAATGTTGCACGACCCTCGGTGCACACACTCAAGCTGCCGTTTTATGTCAATTTTTAGAAGAAACTGACTACATGTTGGCGTTCCGGATATTGTCCGAGCAGAAAACTTGCAATGACGCGGTCGATGCATATTATCATTGTTTCTGGGATACCAGTATTTTGGAATATCTCATATACACTCATAATAAAAAGGGTGAGTTTCAGAGAAGGAAGATTGCGATACAAGTCATTGGAATGTTGGAGCTGAATTCTAGTAACAATGGAGAAATACAAAGAGAAGCAAGTAATTTAAGGAAAAGTACGTTTTTGAGGGCATTGTGTAAACAGTATGTATTTTAGAGTGTATTTTTATATTCAAAATAAATTTATGTAGTTTTTTATTTAATTTTGTACTTATTTTCTAGTTAGTAGCCTATAAGCCATCTTACATTTACCTTATTTTGGTAATAAAATCCAAATCTCCAAGTCATTTGTCCATATTTTGACAGTTTGTGATGATTTTAAATTAAGTCATTACTTTGCTCTTCTAAACCTTTTTTAACACATATTTTAACATATACTTGCTATCATATCTATGTCAGTTTTTTATATTAAAAAAAATTGATTGTCTAATTCCTTTTGTTCTTGCTACCATCTATAAAATAATTGTAAGATATTTGGGGATCTTTATCTTTAGTTTTGAAAGTTGAACTTTTGAAAGTTGAAAACGAACTAACCGAGGATATCCAGATTTGCCGTGGGTCCGCCAAGGGTGTATTTTATCACCCTTGTTATTCAATTTATACAGTGAAGCCATTTCAGAATTAGCGCTTGCCGAGGCCAGTGAGGCCTTATAATAAACAGTGAGCCACTTAATAACATAATATATGCTGACAACACCGTCCTTCTGGCAGGAACACTAGAAGAACTGCAACACCTTGCTGAACAATTAAATATATATTGCAACGAATATGGACTAAAATTAAATTTGAAGAAAACCAAGTTCATTGTATTTACAAAAGCACAAAACATCAAAGTTAAACTAGTACTAGATAATACTGAAATTGAACAACTATCTTCATATGAATACCTTGGAGCATGGATCACAGAAGATACTGATCAGACAAAAGAAATAAGATGCCGCATTGAAATTGTACGGTCAACTTTTAATAAAATGAGAAAGCTTTTTTGTAATCGCGATATCAATATAATCGCTCCGGATAAGAATGTTTCAATGTTATATTTTCAGTACCCTTTTGTATGGGATTGAAGCTTGGACACTTCAAAAAATCCAACATTAAAAACCTAGAAGCATTCCAAACCAAAAAGATGGATCGCAAAACAAACGAACAGGTTCTCAAACAACTAGGAAAACAATGCAAAGTTTTAAATTCCATAAAAATCAGGAAATTGGCATATTTGGGGCACGTCAGGAGAGGTGAAAAATACGAAACTACTAAGGAATATAATGCAGGGTAAAATCAAAGGCAGAAGAAGCGTAGGAAGATGTAAAATCTCGTGGCTACACAATCTCTGTGAATGGTTTGGATGCAGTTTAATTGAACTATTCAGGTGCGTAACCAACAAAATTATAATTGCCAGAATGATTTCCAATCTCCGATAGGAGCGGAACTTGAAGAAGATTTTTAGTTTTTTATGTAAAACATTCATTTTCAAATAGCCGAACAGAGAAAAATGAAAAATTACAAAGTTTGAAAGAAACATAATAACACATAAATAAAGAAAAAAATTTAATAAAAATATGTATATTCTATATAACAAATCTTATTTATCCCAGTTCCCCCATGATGTATTATTCCCAGAACTTAAACAATAAAGTGTCGAATTTGTACTTTTAGAACTTATAATCGTGATGACATTCCTCCTGCTATCACAAAGTTTTCCCCAGTCACATAGGATGCATCATCAGATGCTAAATAAGCCACTATACCAGAGATTTCCTTTGGTTGACCAAATCTAGAAACAAGAAATAAATATATAAATAATTTTTATTAATTTCTTTTTAACTTTAGTGTAAATCTACACACAAACTTGTACGCTGACTACCATAATTATCTCCAGTACCAGCTACTCCCTAATTAAAGGCCCTATATAAAACAAGTCAAAAAAAATGTTAAATAATCAAAAAAAAATTTATAACATATATTTATTGTATTTGATTATAATACCTTCTCATTGGTATTCCTGGCACAGCCATCTTAGCTGCCTCTTCATCTTTGGTTATGGCATCAGAAAACTTTGTCTCTATCAAACCAGGACACACTGAATTGACAGTAATGTTCTCCCTGGCCAATTGTACAGATGCGGCCTTGGTAAGACCTAGTAAGGCTGTTTTAGTTACAGAATATGCACCCAAAAACTCAGAAGGTTGAAGACCAGCAATTGAAGATACAAAAATTATTCTTCCTGTCTAAAAAATCACATATTTATTAAACTAAATCAAATTACACAAAGGACTCAATACAAAACTATTAAAAAATAAAAATTTAAATTTTATCATTGTAATAGTGATATTGGATGTTGAATTCCAGCAAGTATGTCACAATCTTGAAAAAAAAAACAAAAATTCATTTTCTATTATTACCTTACTGTTTCTCAAGAGTGGCAGAGCTTCTTGAGCCAAAAGAAAAGAAGACTTAACATTCACATCAAACAGTTTGTCCCAGTGCTCTTCTGCACAGTCCAGAACTCCTCCTACAGTGGGACTAACTGCAGCATTGGACACCAAAATATCAAGACCTCCAACTTTTTTTGCTTCCTCAAACAATTTTTCCCTGTCGCTAGGTTTTGATACATGGCAAACTAGACCAGTGACATCAAGTCCTTCATTCTAAATAATATTAATAAAAGATTCAGTTGGATAACGAAACTTGGATATAATTTACCTTAAGTGCTGCCGTGGCTTTCTCTACATTTTTTTCCTTCCTACTACTTATAATAACTTTAGCTCCTTCTTGAGCTAGTCTTTGAGCAATCGCAAAGCCAATTCCCTCAGTGGAAGCAGTCACAACTGCAATTCTTCCACTTAAACGTTGTAGTGCGGCCATTCTGAATAAGTCTAAAATACTAAATGGTGTTTTTTTTACGTAAAACGACTATATTTGATAAAATTTTAAGGTTCAAAGGTTACTCTGGGATCAACAAGTATTAAAAAAATTGAATATTGGCATTGGCATGTTTTGACGTTTTTTTAAACCAGTTTTAAACTCAAAACTAACCTCAATTTTTCGTTTCTACATCTATGTTGTTAACTATCCACAATTTATTTAATCAAATAGGTACTTCCATTTAAGGGCTACCTGTATTTGTATACAATGCGTACAATCCGTATGGCATTTTGACAGTATTTTCTAAATAATTAAAAATTGTTCTTAACGATACCTCGATGCAAGTATCAAAAACATTAATCACATACATATATAATGCAATAGTGACAAAACCATCTAGGTGGAGAATAAATAGTTTCTGTGGAGGAGAAAAAATTTACATTCATATTAATATCTCCACCAGAAGCATTATTTGATTTTTAAAGAATAAATAAGTATGAACTTATGAATTACATGGGCATGAGCTTAAAGAGAATACGTTTTAAGAATATAACAAGAAATTGAAAATTCAAAAAAAAATGTTTATAAATTTACGAAAATAACTGTAAACAAGATTTTAAAAGTGATATTGACAATCCAAATTCCTTTTCCCAAATCTTTTGACACAATTTGGAATTACCATATGAAGCAAGCATGAGTCATAATGTTTACAGTTTATGTATTTACATATATTTTGATTGATCATTGAAACAATAATAGAGTTTATGTAATGTCTTCAAGTTATTAATATTAATGACGAATCTCTCAATATCGTTTGCGAAAAATATGTTATTTGCAAAATTTAAATCTCGCGCGAATAATTTGTTACCGGTCAAGTGGTAGAAGTGCAAGAATGTGACATAACCAAGTGTCAGTTTTTTTCAGTCGTGTGATATGCTCAAGGTGTGACTTTAGCGTGTATTTTGTCAAATTGAGATTAATAAATGAAATAAAGTAACGATGGCGAAATTGTGAAAACTTTCTACATAACGTTTGATGGATTCGTCCATATATTGGCTACAACCGGAACAAGAAGGGCCCGCAAAGCATCTCTGGCTTCGTATTTGGCAAACTACTCAAGACTCTCTTAATATGAATATAAAAGAAGGTGACAGTGAAACAGAAACCATCACAAATGGGTATATTACCCATGGGAACAACAAAGTAGGACTTATGAACGGAAAAACCGATAAAAACGCTACTATTGCCAGAAGACGGAAAGAGATTAACAGGCCCACTAGTAGAGGTTCATTTCGGAAATCAAGCAGTGAGCATGTAGGGAATCCTTGGAGGCCATCGAAGTATCTATATCGTAAAACTATCCTAGGGTAAGTACTTTATTAAATCTACAACGTGCCTCAGTTTTCCTAACCAAAAAATTTTCATTTTGACTTTCCATTTAACTCATCTCTCTCTCATTAGATGGCCTTGAGTCTGTCGATTTTGACTTAAAAATACCGGGTGCCTCCAAAAATTACAAGGTCAAAACGCCGAAAGTGTATTTCAGATAACCAGTTCATTTTTTATAAACATTTCTTGTTTTCGTTTGATTATGCAAATCAAAATAAGAATCTAATTTTTAGATAAACGCTAGTAACATAAATAAGTATACTAGTGACCTATACGTGTTTTCCTTGGTATACCCATATGGTACTGATGATGGTTATTCAAATTTGACGTACTTTGGCTATCTCAAGTTTTATCTCAAATTACGCAGATGAAAATTACTTATCTGAAAGGATTTGCATCGCTTGTACGCAAATATCGTTTATATGGTACATATTTTATTTAAGTCACTTCTGAATAATTACAGAAATCACACATAAATTTTACCTGCTTACAAATGTTTCATTATTATACCTAGTACTACTGAAAATGCTAAATATGGGTACAAATAAAAAAAAATTAGAAAACTAGTTTAAAATTGATCAAACCTGCATTAGAATGATTTTTATTAGTTTTAAGATGGTTTATAAATGACTATTAGTAAGAAGAAACTAGTGAAAGTAATAAAAATATCTACAAAGATGGTTCAATAAATAATGTCTTCAGAAAGCACAAAATTGTTAATGGAACTAAAGGAAAATATGCCTGTGCCTGGCGTGCATAAAATATTTTGGACACTAGGTCTATTTAGTTCTCAGAAAAGCCTTAAAAACAATATTGTTGCCAGTTTGTTATTACATATTTGATTATTATCTACTTTCACCAGTCTACTTTACATTCAGCCAAATAATCATCAAATAACAGACATGTTGTTTTCAATAACATATTTAATAAAATATATTCAATTATGTCAATATTTATTGAAAAAGATCTAAATGGATGATAAAATTTTGCATACAAGAATTACACTTGACAACATTGTATATCTCAGTTGTTGTGACAAGTAGAAAAAATGGTTATACACTTTTATATAAGATAGAGAGAGATATATTTCTCATTGATCTGACTCATTTTACAGCCAGTAGCGTATCATTAAGGTATTTGTTATTCATTTTAAAAATTAATTTTCAAAATACATTTTAAAATTTATTACAACAAAATTTACAGTTTTGGATGCTTATAATAAAATTTTTCATTGTTGCATACCAAGGAAATTGTTCACATTTTAATACCCTTCATTTACAGGTAGTTGATGGTACAGTAACTCCCTCTATAACGAGAACTGAAATGGCAGACTAATTACCTTGCTATAAGCTGATCTCGTTCAGACAACAATAATACTGTGCATACATATGAATATGTAGTTTTCTAAAACATTCCTATACTGAAGCAATTCAGAGCAATGTAAGATGCTAAATATTGTTTGAATGGCGTTTTTTAAACTATATAATGTATAAAGGGTATTTTTCAAGATAACAAACTATTGCTTCTGCAATTGGAAGAAGTCTGTCATTTTTGACTGCTTTAAATTGTTCAGTATCATTCTATCTATCATATTTACTAAAGATGTGAAACAGTATGCTTCTGCATTTGTGTTTTGTCTTTGGATAAAGTTTCTTACAACATTTAAAGCACTTTCCACATCTTGTCTATTAGGACCTTCTTGAGTAGATTCACTGCGATTGTCTTCTCCATCTTCATCACTTTCGTCCATCGAGCAAAAAGACAAAAGAGGGAATCTAATCCTTATGAAAAGGATACCAAAAAAGAGGCCTCTGATGGCGGACATATCCGGAAATGCGATTGCGCCAAATTTAAATTTTCCGACACTTATTAACAGTAGCTATATAATATTTTTCAGAATGTGTCTTAGACGAGAAAGTTTTAATTCAGTATTAACGATAATAGTCTAAAATGCGACACAAGTGTTAAAAAACTTAAATATAAGTAAGATTTTATGTGACATTTGGGACAAACAAGGGGAGAGACTCTCTTTCCTTGTTTAATGTGGCCTCTAAAGATCGCACTTCCTGTCTAACAATATTTTTGCCCCCACTACCTTTACATTCCCTCTTTTGTCTTTTTGCTCCATGCTTTCGTCACTGACGATAACGCGGTCCGCCGGCGGATTTATTACTTCCTAGTTTCACTATCCCTCCACAAATAATGACGTCATCATCAATGGCAATGACTTCAGCAAAAGTCGTCATCATTGTTCAGTTGGTTTAGTTCTTGACGTCGCTGTTCTAACCTCAACCACTCTGTTACAGGATATTCATCTTCTTCGTTTTTTACCTTACCCCAGTCTTTGTCCACCGGCATGACTGAAACATTTACTGATGGTTTTTTTATCTAGGAGTGTCCATACTTTGTGGATGAAATTTATGGCATCTAATGTGTTTCATTTGTCATGTTTTAAGCCTCTTTATGTAGTTCATTCGGTGCGAATGGTCAAACCCCTACACTGACTTTTGAATCATAAATTGTAAATTTCCGACAACACAATATCGGTCAGTAGATTAAACAGAAGTTTATTGCGGGCGGCAGTTAAAAAGGATATTTATTTATAGCCATGGCCGGGCCAAAACGTTAAAGAAACACGTTTTTCGATCTTATTTTCTCTCGTTATAACCAAATTTGCCTCGCTGTAGAGGCTCATAGTTCAATAGAAATTTCGTGAGACATCTAATGTACCTCCTTATAAGCGAAACCTCGTAATAACCTTGTTCGTTATAGAGGGAGTATACTGTAAAATCATTTGACTTTTTTTTGTGAAACTTCTACATTGACAATTCTAAGTTATTTACAACAAAAAGTTGAAATCCCAAGATTTCTTAGTTTTTGAAACCAAAACTGTCTTAACTGTTTTTCTCTAAGTTATTATTTGTTGTTACTGTAACTAGGTTCTTAAAAAGTATATGATGAAATTTGTAAGAAGTCAAAATTGGTCTGAAAAAAGTTTGTCATATGATAAAACAAATATTGAGATCACACTTTGATATTTAATGGTTCAGCTAAACTTTGGTGTCTTGATCCCACGGAATGCCCCTTATAGTGTGTCTAATGCAATTTTTCCAAAGCTTAGATATGAATTTTTTGTCTGCTTGGCTTGCAGCCCTCATCCTCTTTAATAGTCAAGTGTTCAAACTAGGTTTGAATTTCTTTCTGCTCTGTTTAACCCCACTATAGAATTTCTACATTTCCATCTGTGTGTTCGATTATTCCTACAAACACAGTTTTCTGAGTCCTCTTTCTCATTTTCTTTAGTACTTGTTTTTATTTCATCTCAGCTGCTTATACAATTCTACTACGTGTCTTGTTCTTCATCCTTAAAGTTTTATATATGCTTGAAGTCTTATATATGCTTGACTTTTTGCTTGTGTTGCTTGTGCACATTTCTTCAAGTTTGTATACTTTGTCCAATAATCATTTAGTAGCTATCTCTGTATTTTTAACTGTTGTACTGTTTTAAACTTTTCATCTTTTATTCCTCAGATCTACTTTGCATTATGTATTCTTATCTTCATTTGAATTGATCAGTAGTCAGGGTCTATGTTTGCTCCATATATGATTTACAGTATGTATTGTCATAACAAATAAGAAAGTCATAATTTTCTTTTGTAGTTCACCCTGTATATGAATATTCATCAACGATTTCTGTTGATTTACAACTTAATTTTGAAACTAGAACATATTGTTTACCTTATTTTGTAAAATCAATAATTATTTTTGTAATTTTACTTTATATACAGGGTGTTTATTTAGCTATATGAGAAAAAAAAATGTCATAAATTGTTAAATACCGTGTATAATAGTGTCAGACCCCATATTGTAAGAACAGGGATTATGAGAGGAATCTAAATATGACGAAATACATGGGGTGTCCTATTTAAAGATTTGTATGTGTGCTTTACCACATAGATATTAATCACACTGTAGAATTTGTTATATTTTCCAAGCCTGAAGAATATTATTCCTTACAGTTTTTCTAAATAACTTTTCAACCATAATTGTTATTAACCAATATCATACTAAATACTCACCCTGTATATGTGTGTGTTATTTATAACTATATTCTATGCATACTGATGTTTTTAAACCTGTTAAATTAATTTCAAAATCTTGCCACATCCTTAAGAGAGTTGCAAAAAGTTTAATTGTGGTATTGTTTCTCTGGACATCCCTTCATTTTAGCCCAGATTTTTTTAATGTAATTATTACCTCAAAGAGAAGAAAAGAAAAGAAAATACACAGAATGAAGAAACGAAACCACTTAAAAAAAGAAGTTCAATATATAGAAAACCTCAACAGAGAGAAAGAATTCAGAACATTCTATAAGAGAGTTAACATCAACAGAAAAGAATTCAAGGCAAACACAAATCAATGTAGAAGTTTGAATGGCGATCTATTAACAACAAGAACATCATCAAAAAATGTTATAAAAGCAAATTAAATTTTGCGATAACTATTTAGCTGATATGGCGCATGGTTTGTAATCATGATAAGACCTTTAAGTTCAGATACATAAAATAATAAAAAAATTATCAATATACAAAAACATTGATTTTGTTGTTCATTTTGCAATAACTTTTTTATCATCCAATTTTAATTTAGCGTATCTCTTTTGTGTATCTTTTATTTAAAAATAGTTCCATTAAAAAAATTATGAATCTCTAAGTAAGTAATAAGAAGTCTTATGTAAGTAAAAAAATTATATCAGAAGAGTTTACAATGACAGAGTGTCTGAGACAGGCGATAAGTCCTTTATTATATATGACGTTTATGGATGACATTATAAAAGAACATTTAAAAAAATTAAGTTTATAAAACCAATTTCATGATTTTTCTGTTTTAAGTTTATGAAATCTACTGTTCCATACATTTGCCCCACACTGTATTAACAAATCAAATTGGGGAATCCCAAAGTCTATACTTTTACTCT